CCGATCTCAGGTCACGCAAGCCTCCGCAGGATGCGGTGGCTCACGCCTGTAATCCCAGCACTCTGGGAGGCCAGGGTGGGTGGATCACCTGAGGACAGGAGTTCGAGACCAGCCTGGTCAACATGGTGAAACCCCATCTCTATTAAAAATAACAAAAATTAGCCAGACGTGGTGGTTCATGCTTATAATCCCAGCCACTCGGGAGGCTGAGACATGAGAATCACTTGAACCTGGGAGGTGGAAGTTACATCATGCCACTGCACTCCAGCCAGAAATATGGGTTTTTGTGTGAAATCTCATGGTTTGCCGGGCGCGGTGGCTCAAGCCTGTAATCCCAGCACTTTAGGAGGCCGAGACGGGCGGATCACGAGGTCAGGAGATCGAGACCATCCTGGCTAACACGGTGAAACCCCGTCTCTACTAAAAATACAAAAAACTAGCCGGGCGAGGTGGCGGGCGCCTGTAGTCCCAGCTACTCCGGAGGCTGAGGCAGGAGAATGGCGCAAACCCGGGAGGCGGAGCTTGCAGTGAGCTGAGATCCAGCCACTGCACTCCAGCCCGGGCTACAGAGCAAGACTCCGTCTCAAAAAAAAAAAAAAAAAAAAAAAAAAAAACTCATGGTTTTAAAATACCATGTTTCCCTTCTCACAAGGTGTTTCTGAGGTGTTCACGGTGCCTGCGGGATCTGTTAGTCCCCGGGTTGCTCTTCTGCAGGCTTTAGTTTACAGGATAAAGAGCATGGGTGATCAAGCCTTTGGGTTTGAATTCCAATTCTTTCACTGACCAATTCTGTGACTTTGTGTAGGTCACTTTTAAGCCTGTAGAACAGAGGTACTGATGCTTCCCTTCTGGTGATCCAGCATGGGTAAAATAAGTAGAAGTGTTTTTGGTAAATCGTGAAGTGTCGTGATATATGTTGTTTGTGGTAGTTCAGAGGTAGAGATGAGGTAGAAGATCCCAAAGGTAGAGTTATGGTAGGAGAACTGAAATCCTGAAACCCAGACTCCAAGAAATTATAGGAAACTTGAGGCCTGAGAAAGAAGCAGGAATACCAGATCAGGAAGGAGTTAGTGTCTCCATCTGACAATTGGTTCCCATTTCCCTTCCTCCAGGACAACAACGAATGAAATACTATGAACTAATTGTCAATGGCTCCTACACCCCTCAGACTGTGCCCACTGGGGGCAAGGCCCTGAGTGAGAAGTTCCAAGGCTCGGGTGTAGCCACTGAGACGGTGAGAAGCTTGTGGCTGCCACAGCCCCTAGCCATGTGGGCATGGTGCCCGGGTGCCCAGAGCAGGAGCAGTCTTCGGGAGGTTCCGGGCTTCCCTGTTAAACATAAGAAGAGCCAAGCAAAGCTGCTGAGATGCTTTCAAAAGACAGGGAAATAGGATTCCTGGTTTGGGGAAGGGCAGGTTTTCAAGTGGTGTCTTGAGCCCATTCCTCTCTCCTTGCCCTGCTCTGTCGCTCCAGGCTGAATCCCGCCGTCGCTCTTCCTCCGACACTGCTGCCTACCCAGCAGGCACTACTGCAGTGGGCACTCCTGGCAACGGCACCCCCTGCTCCCAGGACACAAGCTTCTCCAGCAGCCGACAAGATACCCCATCTTCCTTTGGCCAGTTTACCCCTCAGTCCTCCCAAGGAACCCCCTACACGTCTCGGGGCAGCACCCCCTACTCTCAGGACTCCGCCTACTCCAGCAGGTACAGAGCAGACCCCGCCTGGGGCCCCGCCCGCAGAGTCTGGGAGCTGCCACTGGGAAGAAGAAGCCCAGAGTCTCTCCAAGAGGGAATTGGAAATAATTTGTCCTAGTTTTTCTGTGGATTCAGTCAACAAATTGCTGTCCTCAGGGAACACACTAGCTAGGAACCCAACATATAGCTCTTCTTTTGAGGGCAGACTAGAGGGGCTTTGGGCCCTAGGAGCCAGGACGCTCTGGTTTGGTCGTAGAGAGCTGAGCCCACCTAACTCCCCTGCTTCTTCTCCAGCACCACTTCAACCTCCTTCAAGCCCCGGCGGTCAGAGAACAGCTACCAAGATGCCTTTTCCCGCCGCCACTTCTCTGCATCTTCAGCCTCCACAACCGCCTCCACGGCCATCGCCGCCACCACTGCAGCCACCGCAGCATCCTCCGCCTCTTCCTCCTCTTTGTCCTCATCCTCTTCGTCATCCTCTTCCTCCTCGTCCTCTCAGTTTCGTAGTTCTGACTCAAACTACCCAGCGTATTATGAAAGCTGGAATCGCTACCAGCGCCATACTTCCTACCCATCACGCCGGGCCACGCGGGAAGATCCCCCTGGAGCCCCCTTTGCTGAAAATACAGCTGAGTGCTTCCCACCTTCCTATACCTCCTACCTGCCCCCCGAGCCCAGCCGGCCCGCCGACCAGGACTACCGGCCTCCTGCCTCAGAGGCTCCACCCCCGGAGCCTCCAGAACCTGGCGGAGGCGGGGGTGGAGGAGGGCCCAGCCCTGAGAGAGAAGAAGTTCGGACTTCCCCCCGCCCAGCCTCACCTGCCCGCTCCGGCTCCCCAGCCCCAGAGACCACCAATGAGAGCGTGCCCTTCGCCCAGCACAGCAGCCTGGATTCCCGCATCGAGATGCTGCTGAAGGAGCAGCGCTCCAAGTTTTCCTTCTTGGCCTCTGACACAGAGGAGGAGGAAGAGAACAGCAGCGTGGGCCTTGGGGCCAGAGATGCAGGGAGTGAGGTGCCTTCTGGGTCAGGGCATGGGCCCTGCACACCCCCTCCAGCCCCAGCTAATTTTGAGGATGTGGCACCTACAGGGAGTGGGGAGCCAGGGGCTACCCGGGAGTCTCCCAAGGCAAACGGACAGAACCAGGTGAGATTGGGGTCAGCCAGAGGAGGCACCTGGGCTCTGGGAGTCAGGGTTGGGCCTAGGGGAGAGGGAAGGGAACTAGACGAGAAAGTAAGGTTTGGGACAACAGAAGCCTTCTGTGACCCTCCTCTGCCCCCGCAGGCTTCTCCATGCTCTTCTGGAGACGACATGGAGATCTCCGATGACGACCGGGGTGGCTCACCCCCTCCGGCCCCGACGCCCCCTCAGCAGCCTCCGCCGCCTCCCCCTCCCCCGCCTCCTCCTCCTCCCTACCTGGCGTCCCTTCCCCTTGGTTATCCTCCCCACCAGCCTGCCTACCTCCTCCCACCCAGACCTGATGGGCCGCCGCCCCCTGAGTACCCCCCACCTCCTCCACCACCCCCGCACATCTATGACTTTGTGAACTCCCTGGAGCTCATGGACCGACTTGGGGCTCAGTGGGGAGGGATGCCTATGTCCTTCCAGATGCAGACCCAGATGTTAACTCGACTCCATCAGCTGCGGCAGGGCAAGGGATTGATTGCCGCCTCAGCTGGTCCCCCTGGTGGGACCTTTGGGGAGGCCTTCCTCCCATTCCCACCCCCCCAGGAGGCAGCCTATGGCTTGCCCTATGCTCTATATGCACAGGGGCAGGAGGGCAGAGGGGCATACTCGCGGGAGGCCTATCACCTGCCCATGCCCATGGCAGCCGAGCCCCTGCCCTCCTCCTCAGTCTCGGGAGAGGAGGCCCGGCTGCCACCCAGGGAAGAAGGAGAGCTGGCAGAGGGCAAGACCCTCCCGACGGCAGGCACCGTGGGCCGTGTGCTCGCCATGTTGGTCCAGGAGATGAAGAGCATCATGCAGCGAGACCTCAACCGCAAGATGGTGGAGAACGTGGCCTTCGGAGCCTTTGACCAGTGGTGGGAGAGCAAGGAGGAGAAGGCCAAGGTGAGGCCAGCACCTGGGACCAGGGAGCCCTGGGCTCTGCAGGAGGAAGTGAGCCTCTGACTCCTCCAGGCTGCACAGCTCAGAGGAGACAGGTAACAGAGGCGAGTGGAGAGAGGCCGCAGGCCCTCAGGGCTGCCCTGACTGGGCAGGGGAGTTGGGGGCACAGAGAAGCAGGCACAGATGGGCCTGGGAGGCAGCAGAGCTTTGTCCTGGTTCCATTGCTTGGTTGCTTGTGGTGGACAAGGCCCTTAGGTCTCTTCAAACTTTGGTCTTCCATTTTGCCATTTGTGAAGTGGGAATGGTGGCTATTTCTTAAGGCTGGTGGGCGAAATGAGCAGACTTTTGAGAAAATGCCATGTGGGGGCTGGGACAGGTGTGACCAAGATATGGAGCAGCAAGTAGATGCGTTCTGTATTCCTGGGGTCCGGGAGTAGGTCTCAGGCAGGAGGGAATGCCTGGGTTCTGGGCGCTGGGGCTCAGCCCCACTGCTGCCTGCAGCCATTCCAGAATGCGGCCAAGCAGCAAGCCAAGGAGGAGGATAAAGAGAAGACAAAGCTGAAGGAGCCTGGTCTGCTGTCCCTCGTGGACTGGGCCAAGAGCGGGGGCACTACGGGCATCGAGGCCTTCGCCTTTGGGTCAGGGCTGCGAGGGGCCCTGCGGCTGCCTTCATTCAAGGTACTCAGAACTGTCGTTTTGTGGGGTAGGGTGGGGAAAGGGAGAGGGGTGCCCCCTTCCTTGGGATAGGGGTGGTCAGGAACTATGAGCGTTTGAGCTCTTTTTTTTTTTTTTTTTTTTTGAGACAGAGTCTTGCTCTGTTGCCCAGGCTAGAGTGCGGTGGAGCTCACTGCAACCTCTGCCTCCCGGGTTCAAGCGATTCTCCTGCCTCAGCCTCCTGAGTAGCTGGGGTTACAGGCACCCGCCACCATGCCCGGCTAATTTTTGTATTTTTAGTAGAGGTGGCGTTTCACTATGTTGGCCACGCTGGTCTTGAACTCCTAACCTCAGGTGATCCACCTGCCTTGGCCTCTCAAAAGTGCTGGGATTACGGGAGTGAGCCAGCGTGCTCTGCCTGAGTATTTGAGTTCTAAACGAGCCCCATCTTCTCCCTGTTCCCCAGGTAAAGCGGAAAGAGCCATCGGAAATTTCCGAGGCCAGTGAGGAAAAGAGGCCTCGTCCCTCCACTCCTGCTGAGGAAGATGAAGACGGTGAGCAGGGTCAGGCATAAGGAGAAGGGGTGGTCTGTGTGGGTTCTGATGGGAGAGCAAGGGTCGGGGATGAAGGGGTTGGGTCGTTCTGAGGGCAGAGCAGGTGGGGGTGCAGGGTTGAAATGCAGCAGTTCTGAGAGGTGTGGGATACACCAGGTAGGGTTATTCCTGGATTGTAGTTGCGGGTCTTCCTCTGGTCTGCCGATTTACATTTTCTGTATTTTGGGTTTTTCCACCCATGAAATTCAGTGTCTGGAATCACGGAATTCCAAGTTAAACGAGGCATCTCCCCAAGTTTCCCACCTGATGCTCATGCCCTCCTACCACCTTCCTCCCAGTGTGCTCGAGTTTCAGCCCTTGCTTGATAGCTACCATGGCCTGGAAACTTCCCCACTGAGTCAGATCTGCTTCCCTGGAGACCCACTGGCCCTCGTACTCTTTTCTTGGGCTAGGCATAACAAATCAGCTCCCGCTTCCACCCGACCAGAAAATGATACAAGATCAAATGGGCAGGACATATTTAAAACTGTGTGGGCTGGGCACAGTGGCTCTTGCCTATAATCCCAGCACTTCGGAGGCTGAGGCAGGAGGATCACCTGAAGTCAGGAGTTCAAGACCAGCCTGGCCAACATGGCACAACCCTGTCGCTACTAAAATTACAAAACAGCCAGGCATGGTGGTGTTCACCTGTGATCCCAGCTACTTGGGAGGCTGAGGCACGAGAATCACTTGAACCCAGGAGGTGGAGGTTACAGTGAGCCAAGATCATGCCGCGGCACTTCAGCCTGGGTGATAGCATGAGACTGTGTCTTAAAATATATATATATATATATGTATTATTATATATGTATTTTTATATACATACATATACATGTATTTATATATTTATGTGTATATATGTGTAGATGTGTGTAGATATGTATATATACGTATATATGTGCATATATGTATGTGTATATATATATGTGTGTATATATATGTGTATATATATGAAGGCCAGGCACGGTGGCACTCACCTGTAATCTCAGCATTTTGGGAGGCTGAGGTGGGCGAATCACGAGGTCAAGAGATCAAGACCATCCTGGCCAATGTGGTGAAACCCCGTCTCTACTAAAAATACAAAAATTAGCCAGGTGTGGTGGCGGGCGCCTATAGTCCCAGCTACTCGGGAGGCTGAGGCAGGAGAATTGCTTGAACCCGGGAGGTAGAGGTTGCAGTGAGCCAAGATTGCGGCACTGCACTCCAGTCAGGTGACAAAGTGAGACTCCATCTCAAGAAAAAGAAAAATACATATATATACACACAGATGTATATATACCTGAAGTCAGGAGGTCAAGACCAGCCTGGCCAACGTGGCACAACCCTGTCTCTACTAAAAATACACAACAGCCGTGTGTGTGTATATGTGTGTGTGTATATGTGTGTGTGTATATATGTGTGTGTGTATACATATAGGTATGTGTATATATATAAAGGCCAGGCATGATGGCTCACGCCTGTAATCCCAGCACTTCAGGAGACTGAGGGAGCAGGATTGCTTGAACTCAGGAGTCCAATACCAGCCTGAGCAACATAGGTAGACCCTGTCTCTACAGAAATTTTTAAAAATTAGCTGGGTGTGATAGCATGGCCCTTTATAGTCCCAGTTACTCAGGAGGCTGAGGCAGGAGGATCGCTTGAGCCCAGCAGGTTGAGGCTGCAGTAAGCTGTGATCACGCCACTGCACCCCAGCCTGAGTGACAGAGCAAGACCCCGGCTCAAAAACAAAAACCAAACTATGAAACATGAGGTAACTGTGAGGTGTTTGCGTTTCTCTGGTGAGCTTCCAAATTCTCATCTGTAAAATGAAGACCATCAGGAAGATTGGTAATAGTGTATGTAAAGCCGTTGTGCAGGGCAAGTATCTTGTGGTTGATGGTAAATTTCCCCAACTACCACTCTGCTGGCCTAGACCCTGAGCGAGAGAAGGAGGCTGGAGAGCCCGGACGTCCGGGGACCAAGCCCCCGAAGCGGGACGAAGAACGAGGCAAGACCCAGGGCAAGCACCGAAAATCCTTTGCTCTGGATAGTGAAGGGGAGGAGGCGTCCCAGGAGTCCTCCTCGGAGAAGGTGAGGGCCTGGGCGCTGGCTCCCAGCTGAAGCCTGCTTCCCCATAGCCAGCATCTCTGTGGTTGGAGCCCAGGCAGCTGTGCCTGGTGGAGGACCAGTTGTCCCTTTCCTGTTGTTAGTCCCCATTTGTCCTTTTTCTTAAGGATGAGGAGGACGACGAGGAAGATGAGGAAGATGAAGATCGAGAGGAAGCTGTGGATACCACAAAGAAGGAGACAGGGGTGTCGGATGGTGAGCACAGACAGCGGAATTGACTTTGGGCTCGGAGGAGGGGTTCGGCTGCCTGGCTAGCCCTTTTCTGAGCCCACATGACCTTCCTTGGGCTTGTGGGTCACCTTTGCCCTCTGCGAGGGCATCTGTTTGGGCCACATTCTTAGGAACCCTTGGCCCCTTGACAGCAATAAGCTCAATGCTCAGAATGCTCCCTCCTGCTCCCTCTTCTGCTGAGACATAGCTGTCCAAAAGGACAGCCTGGAAGAATCTTTTTTTTTTTTTTTTTTTTTAAATGAGAGTCTCACTCTTGTTGCCCAGGCTGGAGTGCAACGGCGCAGTCTTGGCTCACTGTAACCTCCGCCTCCTGAGTTCAAGTGTTTCTCCTGCCTCAGCCCCCCTGGTAGCTGGGATTACAGGCACCTGCCACGACACCCAGCTAGTTTTTTGTATTTTTAGTAGAGATGGGGTTTTATCATGTTGGCCAGGCTGGTCTCGAACTCCTGACCTCAAGTGATCCACCCACTTCAGCCTCCCAAAGTGCTGGGATTACAGGCGTGAGCCACTACACCTGGATTTTTTTTTTTTTTTTTTTTTGAGACGGAGTCTCGCTTTGTTGCTCAGGCTGGAGTGCAGTGATGCGATCTTGGCTCACTGCAACCTCCACCTCCTTGGTTCCAGCGATTTTCCTGACTCAGCCTCCCAAAGTGCTGGGATTACAGGCGTGAGCCACCACACCTGGCTGATTTTTGTATTTTTAGTAGAGATGGGGTTTTATCATGTTGGCCAGGCTGGTCTCGAACTCCTGACCTCAAGTGATCCACCCACTTCAGCCTCCCAAAGTGCTGGGCTTTCAGGTGTGAGCCACTGCACCCAGCCTCTTGCAGCAGTCTTGACTGATTTCCCTGTCTCTGTTTCTGTCCGTCTCCCTCTATTCCAGTTGATTTTCCAAACTGCTTATAGAATCTCTTTCCTAAAATGCACCCCTGACCCTGTGACTTCCTTCCATAAGGTCCTTCCTGACAACCTGTTCTCCGCAGGGTGTCCCCCCAACCCAACACTGTGGGCCGTTTTTATCTCCTGGCCCTGCTGTGTTCAGCTCCATCTCGCCCTCCTCCAGTCCCCTTCCCAGCTGCCACCACCACCTTCTAGTCTAACTTACCCAATTCTGTTCCTCAAAAACTGTGAAATTCTTCAGTTTCTTTGAGCCCTTTCCATACATGAGCAGTCTCAGAGCATAGAACCTGTCGTGTTTTTTAAGCTTTTCAGCCCAGAATCCTTTTTCACCCAAGACTGAGTCCCAAGACCCACTTTGGGAAGGTTCAAGTGCCAGAGCAGCCTGCCTGCCAGTCTCCAAGCCTCCACTTCCTCTTACCTCGGACATCCCTGTGTAGTCCCCATGTCTGCGTGGTGGACTCCTTGTCCTTGAGTTCACCTTGTCCCCCGGGGTACCTTCCCTGTTGGGCCTCTTTAGACAGAGTCTGGGGCTTCCTCTGCCATCCTCCCCGCATGCTGATGTTTATCTCACAGTGAAAATGGTTTGCTTATGCAGCTCCTTGGTCTGTTGGACTTCCCCGTCCCTAGCCCAGAGCCCAGCATCCACAGCAGGGAGTGAGTGAGGAGCCCACGGCTGACCAAGTGAGGTCTGCCCACCTCTCCTGACTGCCCCTTCTGGATTTCCAGGCGAGGACGAGGAAAGCGATTCGTCCTCCAAATGTTCTCTGTATGCTGACTCAGATGGCGAAAATGACAGCACATCGGACTCCGAGAGCAGCAGCTCTTCCAGCTCCTCATCCTCCTCCTCATCGTCCTCGTCCTCCTCGTCCTCTTCATCCTCTGAGTCCTCCTCTGAAGATGAAGAGGAAGAGGAGCGGCCAGCAGCCCTTTCCTCAGCCTCCCCGCCCCCCAGGGAAGTCCCAGTGCCCACACCAGCACCTGTGGAGGTGCCAGCGCCAGAGAGGGTTGCAGGCTCCCCAGTCACACCCCTGCCTGAACAGGAGACATCTCCAGCAAGGCCTGCAGGTAGGTGCCACGGGGGTGTCGGTTGGATCTCTGTGTGTGTGTGTGTGTGTGTGTGTGTGTGTGTGTGTGTGAGAGAGAGAGAGAAAACAGTGGTGCCTGCATTTATTGTGTACTTCTAATAGTGTGACTTTATTAGAAAAACATACAAAGAAAATGTCACCATCTCTTGTCATTCCCTTCTGGAGACATCGATTGTCTGACACACTCAAACTGCACTGTCATGGTGGTTTACAGAACCCCAGGCTAAGCTGGCTACTAAAGTAAAATGGGTTGGTCTCCTCTCAAGTAAATTAAGGAGAAAGTGCCCAATTGAGTAAGTTCTTCCTCCTAATTTTTCTTAAGCCTGTTCTTCAGTGAGTAGTGATTAAGTGCAGGTGATTAAATGGGCAAATAGGTAGAAAACAAGTATGAACATTAACACAGAACTTGGTTCTAGCTGCTTTCCTTTGTGGATTTGTTGTTATACTCTAGCACATTCGCATGGCTTAGCCTGCTGCGGGAACCACTCTTTCAAGCAATAGGTATTTATTGAGTGCTCATTGCAGCCAAACAGTAGGTGCAGGGGATGGGATGTTGAGCCTTGCAGGCAGCATTCTCACTCATCAAGCTTACAGTCTATAGGGAAAGACATCTTCATTGAATAAGAAATACATAGGAGGCTGGGCATGGTGGCTCACGCCTGTAATCCCAGCACTTTGGGAGGCCGAGACAGGCGGATCATGAGGTCAGGAGATCGAGACCATCCTGGCTAACATGGTGAAACCCTGTCTCTATTAAAAAATACAAAAAAATTAGCCGGGTGTGATGGTGGGCGCCTGTAGTCCCAGCTAGTTGGGAGGCTGAGGCAGGAGAATGGCGTGAAACTGGGAGGCGGAGCTTGCAGTGAGCTGAGATCGCTCCACTGCACTCCAGCCTGGGCAGCAGAGCGAGACTCTGTCTCAAAAAAGAGAAAGAAAAGACCAGCCTGGGCAACATGGTGAAACCCTGTCTCTACAAAAATTAGCCAGGCACGGTGGCACACGCCTGTGATCCCAGCTGCTTGGGAGGCTGAGGTGGGAGGATCGCTTGAGCCCAGGAGGCAGAGGTTGTAGTGAGCCAAGATCACACACCACTGCACTCCAGCCTGGGTGGCAGAGCGAGACCCTGTCTCAAAAAAAGAAAAAGAATACCTAGGAAAACCTGTGGTTACAAACCATGAGAAGCACCAGGAAGAAGCGCAGGGCAGCCAGCCGGAGCACACCTGCAGAAGGAGGAGGGCTTCCTGCTGAGGTACTGCTGAGCTGAAGTCTGGGCAAAGCAGGCAGAACAGCTGGCTTAGCATGTGCCAAGGCCCTCCGGCAGGGGAAGCAGTGGGTTCAAAGACCTGGGGAAGAAAGCCGACCCTCCAGAGGGTTGAGCACAAGGGGGTGGTGGGCTGGCTGAAACTGGAGAGGTGAGTGAGGGTTGGGCCCAGCAGACGTATAGGCCAGCCATTGTCAGGAATTTGGCCTTTATTTTGAAGTAGAAACCCATCAGAGTAATGACATGGTCATATGTGTGTTTCAAAAAAATGTAGTGCAGAGAGAAAGCTTGGAAAGGGGCCACAGTGGAAGTAGGGCGCCTCTTAAGTGGCTATTGTAGAATGCAAGGCGAATTATGGTGGTAGCTTGGACTTAGGTAGATTGGACAAGGATGGATCAAATAAGTCAGTGTTCAAGATGTGCTGTGAACTTTAGGAGGCCGAGGCGGGCACATCACTTGAGGTCAGGAGTTCGAGACCAGCCTGGTCAACATGGTGAAACCACGTCTCTACCAAAAAATACAAAAATTAGCCAGGTTTGGTGGTGTGTGCCTGTAGTCCCAGCTACTCGGGAGGTGGAGGCACGAGAATTGCTTGAACCCGGGAGGTGGAGGTTGCAGTGAACGGAGATCATGCCACTGCATTCCAGCCTGAGTGACAGAGTGAGACTCCCATCTCAAAAACAAGATGTGCTGTGAAGATGTATGTGGCCTCCCCGGGGCTCCCAGTTGCACATTGTTGAGAATCCATGGTCTGAGATAGGCAGCGCCCACAGGAAGACCTCCTCACACTGATGCACTCTACTAAGCTCCAGACTCCGTGAGAGGGGAGCTGAGGCTCTCATTACACCTCAGATGACTCTCCAACCTCTCCTGGGCCCACCGGGTAGCAGAAGGGCCTGTGGGGTCACCGGCAGGTCAGAAGGCATGGCTCTTAATCCTCTTCCATTCTCATCAGAGCAGGAAGGAGAGGGGCTCACCATATCTGCATTTCAGAAAGCCCGTTCTAGCAGGAGGAGGAGAGATTTAGAAGAGGGGAGGAAGGAGGTGGGTGACATGAGGAGGTTTGAAAGGATTCTGGTGAGCTTTAATGGCATGAACCAAAGCCGAGGGGTTCTAATGTGGCAGAAGAGTGGAGTAGAAATGGGGGTGAGGATTGGAGGGAAATTTAGGAGGTAGGATGACTTGGTTAAACTTCCCCCAGAAAAGAAACTCGGGAAGAAAATCAGGATTAGGAAGAAAACTGATGAGTGTAGTTGGGGTAGCGTTTGAGATGCCCCTGGGGGCTTCCCGGTAGAAACAGTGGCCGTTGGATCCATGGTTCTGGGGTCTGGAAAGAATGGTAGGCCGGATATGAGATCGGTGCTTAGGTCTTGGAAGTACAGCAGTGAATTCACTTGTAGACCCAGGTAGGCGAGTGGAGGGAGATAAAAGGCAGAGCCTTCCCATCCTGTGAGAGCAATAGGCAAGCGGGCCCGAGGAGGCTGAGAGGGGTGACCAGAGGCGAGAAGGGAAGCAGGTAGTGGAGAGGTTCTGCGAAGGAGGGAGTGGCCTTGTATCACCAGACCACCAGCAAGGCTGAGATAGGCAGTATCTGTTGGATTTGACAGTTATGAGGTCATTGGTGACCTTATCAGTTTCATTTGAGTGGTTCAGACTGAAGCCAAGGTATAGGGTGTTAAGGAATGAGGGGAGGGGAGTTTTCTGGAAGGGTGGACCACTCTTGCTGAGATAAAAAGGAGAGTTGGGGCCGGGGGCAGTGGCTCACACCTGTAATCCTAGCACTTTGGGAGGCTGAGGTGGGCAGATCACTTTAGGTCAGGAGTTCGAGACTAGTCTAGCCAACATGGTGAAACCTCGTCACAACTAAAAATACAAAAATTGGGCTGGGTGCAATGGCTCATGCCTATAATCCCAGCACTTTGGGAGGCTGAGGCAGGCTGATCACGAGGTCAAGAGATCAAGACCGTTCTGGCCAACACTAACATGGTGAAACCCCATCTCTACTAAAAATACAAAAACTAGCTGGGCGTAGTGGCGCACACCTGTAATCCCAGCTACTCGGGAGACTGAGGCAGGAGATCGCTTGAACCTGGGAAGCAGAGGTTGCAGTGAGCCGCAATCGTGCCACTGTACTCCAGCCTGGTGACAGAGTGAGACTGTCTCCAAAAACAAAAAAAAAAATTAGCCATGCGTGGTGGGCAGGCACCTGTAATCCCAGCTGCTCAGGAGCCTGAGGCAGGAGAATCACCTGAACCTGGGAGGTGGAGGCTGCAGTGAGCTGAGATTGTACTACTGCACTCCAGCCTGGGCGACAGCAAGACTTTGTCTCAAAAAAAAAAAAAAAAAAAAGAGTTGGGGGTTGTGACATCAGCTCCCATGTGTCAAGTACCCATGTGTGCCAGGCTCTGGGCATAGCATGTTGACAATTCATTGAATCCCCACAACCTCCCCTTTTTTTTTTTTCTGAGACGGCGCCTCATTGTGTTACCCAGGCAGGAGTGCAGTGGTGCAACCTCGGCTCACTGCAACTTCTGCTTCCCGGTTTCATGCAATTCTCCTGCCTCAGCTTCCCAAGCAGCGGGATTACAGGTGCACGCTGCCACATCTGGCTAATTTTTGTATTTTTAGTTGAGACAGGTCTCACCATGTTGCCCAGGCTGGTCTCGAACTCCTGACCTCAAGTTACCAGCCCACCTTGGCCTCCCAAAGTACTGGGATTACAGGTGTGAGCCACTGCGCTTGCCCCACAACCTCCCTATGATTCCTATTTTATAGATGAGGGCTTCAAGGCTTAGTGAGGTGCAGGAATAAGCTCAACGTTACCCAGCCAGAGTTGGAGAGAGAGCAAGAAGAGAGGGCAGGGTTGAGGGAGGGGTTAGCTTTTCCAAGTAGGTGAGGCTTGGGCGTGTTCCACTGAAGGGAAGCAGGGCCAGGTAGATGCGCCGGGAGAGAGGAATGCTTGCTGGCATGGCCTTCTTGGGGAGGCGGAGGAGTAGCCTCCAGATCTGATGCAGGTATACCCTTCAGTGGGGAGGCAGGAAGATGGGGGTGTTGTGCCTGAGGCCTCTTTTAACCCTGTACTGTAGGAGTGTGAGCGGAAGGGTGGAGTAAGAACCTTGGAAAGTGGAGAAATGAGGATGAAAGTTGCTCCAGTCCGGACGTGGTGGCTCACACGTGTAATCCCAGCACTTTGGGAGACCGAGGCAGGAGAATCTCTTGAGCCCAGAAGTTCGAGACCAGTCTGGCTAACAACAACAACAAAAAAGAAGCTGGGCCCAGTGGCATGAGCCTGTGGTCCCAGCTCCTGGGAAGGCTGAGTCAGGAGGATTGCTTGAGCCTAGGAGGTTGAGGAGGCTGCAGTAAACAGTGATTGTGCCGCGGCACTGTAGCCTGGAGGCAGAGCGAGCCTCTTGCCTGGGCCTCCCCATGCTGGAAGGCCCTGCCAGAGCTGGGGCCTGGGGATGAGGGGAGAGGAGGCTGCTGGCTGGCTCCACAGGGTAGAGGTAGTGGAAGGATGAGGACCTGGGGCTGTGGAAGGTGCCGGGACAGGAGAGGGCAAAGTACCGGCCCTGCGGTCTGGGCAGGGTGGAGGAGGAAGTTAACTTAAGAAGAGGGTGATGTGCTAGAGGGAAACTGAGGGATGGGAAGTTGAAGGTGCAGTGGGGCGGACTGAATGGACAGTGGGGAATGTTGGAGAGGATGGGGAATCTTCAAGGGGGAGCCATTCTGGGGGTTGACAAGGCCAGATATGTGACTGCTTGAGGGGAGCTGAGGGTGATTGAAGGGGATCACTGGAGATGCGAGAATCCAGGTAAACAGGCGTGATCGTGAAGTCCCCTGGGGAGGTGGCAGAGGTGGGAGAAGTGGGAGAGGTGGGAGAGGTGGGAGAAGAGAGGAAGATGCAGGCAGCCCCTTGGTGTCTGGATAATGAGAGAGCACCTGTGTTACCAAGGACAGAGGAGCCATGGCTCCGAGCGAGGGGTCCTTAGTGAAGACTCACTGAATTTCTTTTTTTTTTTTTTTTTTTTTTTTGGAGACAGAGTCTTGCTCTGTTGCCAGGCTGGAGTGCAGTGGCGCCATCTCGACTCACTGAATTCTCAGCCTCCCAGGTTCAAGTGATTCTCCTGCCTCAGCCTCCTGAGTAGCTGGGACTAAGGCACACGCCACCACGCCCAGCTAATTTTTGTATTTTTAGTGGAGACAGGATTTCACCATGTTGGTCAGGATGGTCTCGATCTCTTGACCTCGTGATCCACCCACCTTGGCCTTCCAAAGTGCTGGGATTACAGACGTGAGCCCCCTCACCCAGCCAGTTCACTGAGTTTCTAATAACCGGAACCAGTTTCAGTCACCACCGTCTTAGTGATGGCCCTGGGTAGGGGCAGGTTATGCAGTAGCAACTGGCTTCTGGGGACTCGCCCCATGGACCTGAGCGTGGCAGTAGAACAGTTCTCAGAGTAAGATGGTGGGAGTCGTATTGACTAGGCAGGTGCCCCCAAAAGTTGTCTCCTAAATGAAAGGGATGGGCAGGTTTCCTTCGGGACAGTCGCAGAGGGAAGTGTGTGTGCAGCAGCTGTGCTGGTGGAGGAGTGTGTTCTCCTTCAAGCAAGGCTTCCCGAGGACATGCAGGTGGTCCGTTGGGGGCGCTGCCCCAGCGTGGTGGGGAGGAAGGTGAGAGGAGACCTGGGCGAATCTGGGTCCTTGCTAGCTTCCTGGAGTGGGTTGCTGCCACAGGCTGAGACCCCAGCGGGTGTCCAGAGCCTAAGGTACAGCCTAGGACCTGGCTCAGGGCGCCAGGGTTGGGAGTGCGGTGAACTCAGGTGAATCGCTGCCTTCTAGGGCTGGGCCTGGTGCTGGGCCCTGTTGGCGCTGAGTGGGGAAGCCAGTTGTGAAGCCAGTGAGTCCCTGGGCTGCAGTTCAGAGCATGAGCTCAACCCACATGGCCTGGGAGCAGAGCTTGTTCTGTCATCTGGTAACTGTGACCGCATCTCTGTGCCTCAGTTTCCCTGTCTGTAAGATAGGACCCTCTGCTGGGCGCGGTGGCTCACGCCTGTAATCCCAGCACTTTGGGAGGCCAAGGCGGGCAGAGCAGGAGGTCAAGAGATCGAGACCATCCTGGCCAACATGATAAAACTCTACTAAAAATACAAAAATTAGCTGGGTGTGGTGGGCTTTCCCAGGGATGGTGGCCAAGGGAGGATGCACTCCCTGTCCCAGGGGTGCTTTTGGGGAGGCAGCACCCCCAGCTTGGAGCCAATGTGTTCCCTCCCCAGCCACCCGCATCCTGGGATCTCCGCTCCAGCCCCACTTCTCTGGCAGGGCTGTCTCCTGCCCCTCCCCCCGGGGCATGTTCCAGTTCTGTAGGGGATGGGGAGGAAGGCAAGTTTCATAAAATATTTTAATACAGAGATGCTGCTTTTTAGGTTGTATCATGTTCACCTCGCTAAACTGAGAATGTTGTTTATGGTGGAGGTAATGGATGTTTTAGCTGAAATGTGGCTGACTGGGTCCTTGGCATGGGACAGGGCTGGGGCCTGGGCACAGGGCTGTCCTGCCAGTCTGGGTAGGAAAGCAGAGTCCAGGGCAAGTGGTGCTGCCTTTCTCAGCGTGGCTACAGCTTATGTTTTGGTGGTGTCCCCCGTTGACTGTGGCTCCGGGAGGACATGGAAGGTGTGTGTGTACCCCACACATGTCACAGTGGGAACGAACAGGTAGGAAACCTCCTCTCATCAAGGGAGTTCATCTTGTTGGGATGTGGGGCTGAGGCCAGAGCGTCTGTGTCCCGCCGAGGTTCCTGGGTGGAAGTGGGGGAGAGCACACCGCCTGTGGTCATGGGCGGCCAGGGCGGCTGAGCCTGGGTCGCCCTGACCTCCTTTCCTTCCTCTGTGCTTCCTTCCCAGGCCCCACGGAGGAGCTGCCCCCCAGTGTGCCCCCCCCTCCCCCAGAACCACCTGCTGGGCCCCCGGCCCCCACCCCATGCCCCGATGAGCGTCCCTCTTCTCCTATCCCCCTCCTGCCCCCACCCAAGAAACGCCGGAAAACTGTCTCCTTCTCTGCCATTGAGGTGGTGCCAGCCCCAGAGCCCCCTACAGCCACACCACCGCAGGCCAAGTCTCCCGGACCAGCCTCCCGCAAGGCCCCCCGGGGCGTGGAGCGGACCATCCGCAACCTGCCTCTGGACCATGCATCTTTGGTCAAGAGTTGGCCGGAGGAGGTGTCCCGAGGAAGCCGGAGCCGGGCTGGAGGCCGAGGCCGAGCCACAGAGGAAGAGGAGGCTGAGCCAGGGACAGAGGTAGACCTGGCGGTCCTGGCTGACCTGGCCCTGACCCCTGCCCGGCGGGGGCTGCCTTCCCTGCCTGCTGTTGACGACTCGGAGGCCACAGAAACATCGGAGGAGGCTGAGCGCCCCGGGCCCCTGCTCAGCCACATCCTCCTGGAGCACAACTACGCCCTGGCCGTCAAGCCCACAGCACCGACGCTGGCCCCGCGGCCCCCAGAGCCAGTGCCTGCACCCGCCGCCCTCTTCAGTTCCCCAGCGGATGAGGTCCTGGAGGCCCCCGAGGTGGTGGTGGCTGAGGCGGAGGAGCCCAAGCCGCAGCAACTGCAGCAGCAGCGGGAGGAGGGCGAAGAGGAGGAAGAGGAGGAGGAAGAAGAGGGGGAGGAGGAGGAGGAGGAGTCCTCTGACAGCAGCAGCAGCAGTGATGGGGAGGGCGCCCTCCGGAGGCGCAGCCTCCGCTCCCACGCCCGGCGCCGCCGCCCACCGCCCCCACCCCCGCCACGGCCGCCCCGCGCCTACGAGCCGCGCAGTGAGTTTGAACAGATGACCATCCTGTACGACATTTGGAACTCGGGCCTGGACTCAGAGGACATGAGTTACCTGCGGCTTACGTATGAGCGGCTGCTGCAGCAGACGAGCGGGGCCGACTGGCTCAACGACACCCACTGGGTTCATCACACAAATATCCTGAGCGTGGGCGCTGGGGCCGGCAGCCTTCCCCGGGACACGTGGGCTTGGGTCCTCCTCCGACCCCTCCTGGCACCTGCATCTGTCCCCGACTCTGCCTCCCCTCTGGCTCCAAGCCATCTTTTTCTCTCGGCCTGGTGCCTCTTCTGCCTTCCAAAGCATTTCTGGCAGGAACCATGGGGCTGGAGCTTCCTCCCCTCTCCCTCACCTGAGTATGTTCAGCGGCGTGGGCCCCGCCCTCTCCTTTGGCTGGGACGCGGGTGGCCGGAGAGAAGCCGTTCTCTTCCTTAACACCCCGCACTCACCAACCTGACCACCCCAAAACGCAAGCGGCGGCCCCAGGATGGGCCCCGGGAGCACCAGACAGGCTCGGCCCGTAGCGAAGGCTACTACCCCATCAGCAAGAAGGAGAAGGACAAGTACCTGGATGTGTGCCCAGTCTCGGCCCGGCAGCTGGAGGGCGTGGACACTCAGGTGGGCCCAACTCCGCCGCCGCATGCTCCTCCCACCACTCACCTCTCTGCCCTGCTCACTTCCTCCCTGCCCTGCATCTCACAGGGGACGAACCGCGTGCTATCCGAGCGCCGGTCCGAGCAACGGCGGCTGCTGAGCGCCATCGGTACCTCCGCCATCATGGACAGTGACCTGCTGAAACTCAACCAGCTCAAGGTGAGACCGGGCTGCGGGAGGGCCTGGGTGGGGTAGAGTGGGGCAGGAAGGGGCAGAGGCCAGGGGACCACCCAACAGGCTCCTGTGGCTCCCTCAGGTGGAGTTGGGGGGTAAGCGGCCAGAATGCTCTCTGCTCAGGAAGTCTGGGAAGAGCGAGGGTCTGGGGTGTGGCAGGCGTCTGGCAGTTGAGTCTCCCTTCTGCCCCCCAGTTCCGGAAGAAGAAGCTCCGATTTGGCCGGAGCCGGATCCACGAGTGGGGTCTGTTTGCCATGGAACCCATTGCTGCTGACGAGATGGTCATCGAATACGTGGGTCAGAACATCCGTCAGGTGAGATTGCACTCCCAGCCCCGCCCCGGCTTCTGATGCAACAAGACGGCATGGAGGCTCACACACATGCCATTTGTCCTGGTTAAAGCCTCGCACACCCCCTAGCCCCGGTACCTAGCCAGTGAGACCAGCCTCCCTCCAGTGTGGTCAGCAGCAGGTGTCAGTCGTCCAGCAGGAGGCACAGCTGATGGCACTGCTCCCTGCTTTTGTTTTTTTTTTTTTTTTGGAGACATAGTCTTTCTCTGTTGCCAGGCTGGCGTGCCAGGGCACAATTTTGTCTCACTGCAACCTCTGCCTCCTGGGTTCAAACAATTCTCCTGCCTCAGCGTCCTGAGTAGCTGGGACTACAGGCGTGTACCATGTGCAGCTAATTTTTGTATTTTTAGTAGAAACGGGGTTTCACCATGTTGGCCAGGATGGTCTTGATCTCCTGACCTTGTGATCTGCCTGCCTCGGCCTTTCAAAGTGCTGGGATTACAGGTGTGAGCCATCGTGTCCGTCCAAGCACTGCTCCCTTTTTGTTTGTTTGTTTTTTTTTTTTTTTTTGAGACGGAGTCTCGCTCTGTCGCCCGGGCTGGAGTGCAGTGGCCGGATCTCAGCTCACTGCAAGGTCCGCCTCCCGGGTTTACGCCATTCTCCTGCCTCAGCCTCCCGAGTAGCTGGGACTACAGGCGCCCGCCACCTCGCCCGGCTAGTTTTTTGTATTTTTATTAGAGACGGGGTTTCACTGTGTTAGCCAGGATGGTCTCAATCTCGTGACCTCGTGACCGCCCGTCTCGGCCTCCCAAAGTGCTGGGATTACAGGCTTGAGCCACCGCGCCCGGCCCGCGCTGCTGCCTTTCAAAGGGCCTGGGAAGCAGGAGGACAGGCACTGAACAAGTATCCACACAAAAGGATGGTGTTCCAGCCTGAGCAATATTGCCAGACCCCGTTTCTGCAAAAAATACTAAAGCTAGCCGGGCGTGGCGGTGCATGCTTGTGGTCCCAGCTACCCAGGAAGCTGAGGTGTGAGGATCACTTGAGACCACAAGGTGGAGGCTGCCGTGAGCCAAGACTGCACCACCGCACTCCAGCCTGGGCAACAGGGCGAGGCCGTGTCTCTAGAAAAAACAAAAGCCAAAAGGATGGCATTTGGTATTCACAAGATCTGGGGAGTTGGGCCATGGGAACACACAGCTGGGGGGCCTAAGACCTCCTGAAGACCATGGTGCTTGAGCAAAGCTGAAAGGAGCTCGCAGGCCCAGGCGAGTGGCATTGTGTGTGTGCTTGGTTGCGGGACACCACGTGCACGGGCCTGGAGGCAGGATTGTCTTGTGAGAGTATGGAGGTCAGCTTGGCTCATTAGAAACCAGGGCCATGGCCGGGCTCGATGGCTCACGCCTGTAATCCCAACACTTTGGGAGGCCGAGGGAGGTGGATCACCTGAGGTCAGGAGTGCGAGACCAGCCTGGCCAACATGGTGAAACCCCATCTCTACTGAAAATACAAAAATTAGCCGGGCGTGGTGGTGGGTGCCTGTAATCCCAGCTACTAGGGAGCCTGGGGCAGGAGAATCGCTTGGACGTGGGAGACAGAGGTTGCAGTGAGCCCAGATCGAGCCATTGTACTCCAGCCTGGGTGACAGAGCAAAACTCCGTCTCAAAAAAAAAAAAAAAGAAACCAGGGCCAGTGGCAGCGACATGCAGCTGGAGGCTGGAGGGGAGAGGGAGCCCAGACCGCACGGGCTTGGGAGCCTGTGAATCCACTCAGGCCTGTGGCGAGAGAGGAGGAAAGTCCCGGAGCCTTCCGCAGGAGAGGGCCCCGTGGCTAGTGAGCTCCCTGTCTAGGCTGACACCAGTGTCCAGGCAAAGGCAAGGGTGGCCCGACCCAAGCAGTGGCAGCAGAGGTGACAGAGAAGGTGCAAGGTGGTTGAGCTCAGCAGTGAGAGGGTGAGGGGGATAGGAGGCCCTCGGTGCTGCTCTTAGCCGCTGGGAGTATGGTGGGATGGCCAGTGAGCTGGGAGTGAGGAGGAAGAACAGATATGTGGTCAAGATGAGCTCCAGTCTGGACATGTGGGGTTGCAGTGCCCCAGGGACATCTAGGGGACGACGCCCAGCAGCTCCACTGAGGTGGCTTTTGGCTGGAAATGGAAGTTTGGGAGGAGTCCCCACCACACAGCTGGCGGCTGAGGCTCTGGAAGGGAGTGAGGTCACCCGAGGAGGGCACGTAGAGGCTCCTCACTGTCTTCTGGGAAGTAAGGGTTGCTCCTCACAGGGGTGCGGGGCGGGTGGCCTGCTATTTGCATTGGTCGGTGGCAGCCAACAGGTGCCTGTTTTGGAGAGAGGTCCAGGGAGGAGAGATGAGCAGGGTGCCATTGGTGACATGGCCACTGTCATTTCAGGAGCTGCCGCAGCCCCAGACTTGCCCCAGCAGTCCGGGGACCCCACTGTGATCAGGCAGATGCTCGAAGGAGCCAGTGGCTCTCCTTCCCGATGCAGATTTCCCTGGAGTCCCCTGCGGGTGACTTAGAATGGCCACCAGAGGCTTAGTATGCTGCCCCAAAGAGGGAGGGCTCCTGGAAGCAGAGTCGAGAGAGTCAGTGCCGGGTTAGCGGGAGCCGGAGGCAGAGCTGCAGCTCCAGGCCTGGTGGGCATGGACCTGGGGTGCTGGCTGGCAGGTGTGCTCGGGGGCAGGAAGTGGGGGGCTCTTCCCTGACCATCGCATCTCACCCTGACAGATGGTGGCCGACATGCGGGAGAAGCGCTACGTGCAGGAGGGCATTGGCAGCAGCTACCTGTTCCGGGTGGACCATGACACCATCATCGATGCCACCAAATGTGGCAACCTGGCCAGGTTCATCAACCACTGCTGCACGGTGCGTCAGGGGCTGGCCGGGGCAGGAGTTCAGGGGTCGGTGGGGGTGGCCGAGGCTCACATGCCCTTCCCTCCGCAGCCCAACTGCTACGCCAAGGTCATCACCATCGAGTCCCAGAAGAAGATTGTGATCTACTCCAAGCAGCCTATCGGCGTGGACGAGGAGATCACCTACGACTACAAGTTCCCACTGGAAGACAACAAGATCCCGTGTCTGTGCGGCACGGAGAGCTGCCGGGGCTCCCTAAACTGAGGTGGGGCAGGACGGGTGCCCACACCCCTATTTATTCCCCCTGGTGCCCTGAGCTCCCAGCACCCCCCAGCCTTAGTGGGCTCAGCAGGGCCCACATGCCCCCATCTCCAAGCGTGGGGTTGGGGGGCCCCAAGCCCAGCGAGGGAGCCTCAGTCCCTGGAGGCAGCTTCTGCCTCTCCTGTCGCCCCTGCCCACCACCCCCTGATTGTTTTTCTTTGCGGAGAAGAAGCTGTAAATGTTTTGTAGCAGCCAGCAGCTGTTTCCTGTGGAAACCTGGGGTGCCGGCCTGTACAGATTCTGTCCTAGGGGCTGCACAGTCCTCTCGCTTTGTGTTAATGGGGACTTCCCCTTATGCCCTGCGTGTACCCCTCCCCAGTTTAGGGGTCTCTGGGGCAGTGGCCATGTTCTCCCCCTGGGGGGGCTCTGCACCCCCAGTCCTGGGGACTCCGTGCCTGGAACCCTGCCTCATCTGTTCCTGCCAGACCCTGAGGGTCACCCTCCCACCCTGGTGTCATGCCCCGGCTCAGCCAGGCCAGGATGGCGGGGTGGGCCCCTTCTGCTGGGCTGGACTGTACATATGTTAATAGCGCAAACCTGACGCCACATTTTTATAATTGTGATTAAACTTTATTGTACAAAAGTGCTTGGTTGGTGTATTTGGGCAGGAGCGAGGGGTTGGGGGTGGAGGGCACAGAGGATTGGGCAAGATGAAGAGAGGGAAAAGTGAGTACCAGAAGTGTGGGGCTGGTAAAGGGGCCTTCAGGCAACAACCCAGACCTGCGGAGGCCCCGAGACTGCTTTGGACCCCTAGACAGGCCGTGGCAGCCGCAGCCGCACCCACACCAGGAATCCCCCACCAGTGCCCGCCAGGGCGGTGCCAAGGTCAGGCCTCCCCTTCCCAGAACCACAGCTGCAGCTGGGCCTCTGGCCTCCTGGGAAGCCCAGCGGGAGGGAAGGCCTGAGGTCACACTGTGGGATGAGGTCACCCGCTGGCTCCACCCAGAGCCCCGGACCCCTTAGCCCACTCAGCAAGTTCCAGCTTCATCACCCCAAGTTCTCCGCTGGACCCGGATGCCCGTGGAGCACAGAGTGGCCGCCAGGGGGCGCCTTAGGGCAAGAGTGGTGGGGGTTGTGGCTGGGCGGGTCTCTGTTCCTGGAATGGGGCAGGAGGGAGAAGGAGGAGCCAGCGGAAGGGGACGGTGTGTGGGCTGGCCAGCCCTGGACGAAAGAAGAGGGCCCCTCCAGGCCAGTCTGGGCACCCTGGGACAGCGGCTGCAGGTAGGCAGAGGCGCTGCCAGTGCCCACCCAGGTGGCCTTTCCCTCCATCCGGCCCTTCCCGCCTTCCTATAACCTTCCCTCCACCTCCCTCAACTCCCGGCCTCCCCACCCTTTTACTGCCCTCAGACCTCTCTCCCCAAACCCTGACCCCTTCCTGTACCCCAAGCCCGTCCCTCTCTCCATAACTCAGCCATCAGCAGGGGCAGATGGCTGGTGGCCTGGTTGCTGCAGCTCCCAGGATCAGCTCTGCCCTCCCCCCAAACGCCAGCCTCTTCAGTGCTCCAGGGCACCTCCAGCAGTAACAGGTGGTTGCGGCAGGTGGCAGCCAGTCCCTGGGTGAGCCAAGGTCTTTTCCCCAGCCGGGCATGGCCGACTCTGCACAGGCCCAGAAGCTGGTGTACCTGGTCACAGGGGGCTGCGGCTTCCTGGGAGAACACGTGGTGCGAATGCTGCTGCAGCGGGAGCCCCGACTCGGGGAGCTGCGGGTCTTTGACCGACACCTGGGTCCCTGGCTGGAGGAGCTGAAGACAGGTTCGTGTTGGGGGAGCTTGTGGCGGAGAGGGTGTGGACGCTTCCCCATCCCTTCCAAAGCTGGGATCCCCACCCCTGCAGTGGAACAGATGATGCTGGTTTCTGTCCACATGGATGGGACGAGTGAGTCACATTGGGAACGTGACTCCAGAGTGGAAGATGAACCCAGTTTCTGGCCTCTGGCCCCAGCTGTGACATGGCCTGTGTCCTCCAACCCCGGCCAGGGCCTGTGAGGGTGACTGCCATCCAGGGGGACGTGACCGAGGCCCATGAGGTGGCAGCAGCTGTGGCCGGAGCCCATGTGGTCATCCACACGGCCGGGCTGGTAGACGTGTTTGGCAGGGCCAGTCCTGAGACCATCCATGAGGTCAACGTGCAGGGTGAGGAGCCCTGGATACTCCTGGCCATCTTGCTTGTTTGTTCCCCACTCTGTCTTTGGCCTTCACCTCCTGTGACTCCCCTGGGACAAGCTGTCCTATTGGCAGCCCTGCCCCCGCCTCCCCTGACCTGTTGTGGTTTTTCCTGGACCTGGGATGGGGAGGAGGAAGATGCAGAGAGGGAGGAAGCTGCAGCCTGGATACACCCCCTCCTCTGCCAGGCACCCGGAACGTGATCGAGGCTTGTGTGCAGACTGGAACACGGTTCCTGGTCTACACCAGCAGCATGGAAGTTGTGGGGCCTAACACCAAAGGTCACCCCTTCTACAGGTGAGTGGCAGGCCCTCCTGTCCTCTAAGAGCCCATTTCCCTCAGCATTGAGTCTTCCTTCTCCTCCCGCCAGGGGCAACGAAGACACCCTATATGAAGCAGTGCACAGGCACCCCTATCCTTGCAGCAAGGCCCTGGCTGAGCGGCTGGTCCTAGAGGCCAATGGGAGAGAGGTGAGCCCAGAAATAGGAGGCGCAGAGATGGGGCTCCTGCCCTGTACACCCCCTTACCCCGCCAGCCCAAGGAAGCTGGGGCTGAGAGCGAGCTGTCAGGTCTCAGGTCTCAGCAGTGCCTGCCTTTGCCACCAGGTCCATGGGGGGCTGCCCCTGGTGACGTGTGCCCTTCGTCCCACGGGCATCTACGGTGAAGGCCACCAGATCATGAGGGACTTCTACCGCCAGGGTCTGCGCCTGGGAGGTTGGCTCTTCCGGGCCATCCCGGCCTCTGTGGAGCATGGCCGGGTCTATGTGGGTGAGGACGGGGCTAGGCAGGGGGAGGCTGAGAATATGACAGGAGGACTTGCTCTAGAAGGGGGCGGGACCCATATGACCCTGGGAGAGAAGTGTGGACTCTGACTAGAAAAATGTGGTCTATACATGGGCCAAGGTAGACTGTGATTATGTGGGGAAAGCCTGTGATTATGTGTCTACACAGTCTGCAGAGAATACAGGATCCATGCAAGTTGGGATATTAAAAAGTGTATCATAGGCTACAAAGATTGCAGCTGCGGGAGCAGCCATTCCCCAGGAGAGGAGAGGAGAGGGACAGTGTCTACACAGCACTAAAAGGGCTGAGTTCAGTGGCTCACACCTATAATCCCAGCACTTTGGGAGGCTGAGGCAGGACGACGGCCTGAGCCCAGGAGTTGGAGGCTGCAGTGAGCTATGACCACACCAACTGGACTCCAGCCTGGGCGACAGAGAAAGACCCTATCTCTAAAACTAAAAAGGGAGTAGCATCTACAGAGGGAATAATGTCACCTGCCGCTCCATCCTGCAGTCCCCAAGCCCCTCAGGGCCCACCCCACAAGTCCTGGCTTCTCCATCCTCTCCCCAGGTTCTTTGCAGATGCAGGCAGGCCCAGGAGAGCAAGTGACTACCAGGGCGAGGGAAACGGCAGCCTTTCCCACGCTGCTGTGGGGATGTGGGTGGCAACTACCTGGACCCAAAGAGGGGGTGGCCCAGGAGAGCAGTCTCGATGTGGTGTCACAAGGGCGCTCAGGGGTGTATCCGCCTCTCTTCTGCCACCGGCAGGCAATGTGGCCTGGATGCATGTGCTGGCAGCCCGGGAGCTGGAGCGGCGGGCAGCCCTGATGGGCGGCCAGGTGTACTTCTGCTACGACGGATCGCCCTACAAGAGCTACGAGGACTTCAACATGGAATTCCTGGGCCCCTGTGGACTGCAGCTGGTGGGTGCCCGCCCACTGCTGCCCTACTGGCTGCTGGTGTTCCTCGCTGCCCTCAATGCCCTGCTGCAGTGGCTGCTGCGGCCGCTGGTGCTCTACGCGCCCCTGCTGAACCCCTACACGCTGGCCGTGGCCAACACCACCTTCACTGTCAGCACCGACAAGGCTCAGCGCCATTTTGGCTATGAGCCCCTGTTCTCGTGGGAGGATAGCCGGACCCGCACCATTCTCTGGGTACAGGCCGCTGGGAGTTCAGCCCAGTGACGGCGGGGCTGGGGCCTGGAGGCCCATCATGGCACATCCACCCAGGTCCTGAGCCCTCACACCCTGGACGGGAAGGGATGGCTGCATTCCAGAGCAGGAGATAGGGCTCTGGGGCCAGAATGGCTGTCCTAGAGCCCTCCACATTTTTTTTTTTTTTTTGAGACAGGGTCTTGCTCTGCCACCGAGACTGGAGTGCAGTGGCGTGATCATAACTCACTGCACCCTCAACCTCCTGGGTTCAAGTGATCCTCCTGCCTCAGCCTCCTGAATAGCTGGGACCACAGGTGCACACCACCACATCTGGCCTTTTTTTTTTTTTTTTTTTTTTTGGTAGAGGCAGGGTCTCACTATAGTGTCCAGGCTGGTCTTGAACTCCTAGGCTCAAGTGATCTTTCCACCTGGGCCTCCCAAAGTGCTGGAACTACAGGTGTGAGCCACCGTGCCCGGCCCAAGCCCTCCACATCATCAATCCAGGAGCCTTGAGTCTGTGTTTTGTCCTGACGCCTCGAAGTCCTAGGGCTGTCAGGATACAAGGGCAGGGTTTGGGGACAGAGTGTCCTTCCTCTGTCCTCTCACCCCGGTCCTGATGGCCGCTTGGTGAGGGTCGGTGCCCTGGCGACCTGCCCGGGCTCTCTTCTGGCTTTCTGAGCAGGAAGCGAGCAGAGGCTCCACAGGCTCACGCTGCTCTCCTGACATCCACGCATGACCTTCAGGTCTCAGTGCAGAGTGCAGAGGCGGCTCTGGTTCCTCCAGCCACCTCAGTCCCTCTTTGGGAAGTGATGTTCCCATTGTTTTTCAAAGGCCTCACCTTCAACCGTCTGTCTTAGAATTCCCCTCTGGAGGGCTGCGGCCTCCCTACGCTTTCACTTCCCACCTCTCTACCCAAGTTCCTTCCCTGCACATTACCAGCCCCAGGCCTGGGGATGTCCCAGATGCTGTACCTGGCTGCGCCCAGATTAAAAGCCTCATCCACGACTGTGTCCATCTGTCTGTCCAGCTCTCCCTCCCGCCCCCCGCACCCCGTGTCCGCCTCCCCACGGCGCCCATCCCACATGGGGACAGAAGGAAGTGAGCACACAGCACGCCCGCTGTTGGATTGGTTGCTATTTCTCCCGTCCCACAGGGCCCGACCTGGCCCGGGGTGGGGTGGGGGGCTCTGGGGACAGGACATGCAGGGCGGAAGGGGGGGCGGGGGCAGGATTTTCCTGTGTTTTATCCATTTGCAAGTTGGTCACCAATAGAGAGAAATGGGACTCTGAGGGCTAACAGGAGAGGGCGGCCTGGCTCTGGGCCCCAGCCAGGCCCCAGGAGTCCTGTCCCCTCTGGGGAGGGGAGGGAGAGAGCTCTAGAAACCAACGGAGAAACAGAGAAGGGGGCAGGGGCTCATGTCAGCAAACACAGCTACATCACGTGACACGCCAGCGACACAGAAACACACGCCAACGCACACGGCTGCACAGCGGGCAGGGGCGGTTAGGGGAACGGGAGCCGGGGGCCACCCATCTTGTCCTCTGCGGGGCGGGCTGGGGGGCAGGGTGAATGCATAGAACACGTCATGTGTACACGCTCAGGGCGTGGCAAGAGCGTGCGACCCACGGGCACATGGGATGGACACGCAGTGTGCTTCATGAGGGACGGGAACAGGGAGGAGGGGGAGGAGGAGCACAGAGCCCTGGCCAGGCCCGGGACCACCCGCAGGGCACACGTGGGCTCGATGGTTGTAGGCGCCTGGGCAGGCGGCACACATTTGTCCGAGAACATGCAAAAGACACCAGCCCCCAGACAACACACCAGGACGCACACAGACAGCAGCCGACAAGCAGACACATCATAGGATGCGGGGGACGCGTAGAAAGTCAGGGCACAGCAGACCCTTGGAGATCCCCTGGTCCACCTGAGGCCCAGAGAGGGGCAGCTGTGGGCCCGATGCCACTACAGGCGGTGGAAGCGGTGCCCCAGCCATGCTGCAACCCTTCTCCTGTGGCCCCAAGGCCGTGGGACTTCCAGAAACACCTGGGCTGAATGGGGGTCCTGTCCAGCCAGGCAGAAGAGGGGACTGGGGGCTGGGGTCTGCTCTGGCATCTCCCAGGCAGCCCGAGATGGGAACAGGAAGGCTGTGGCCAGACTTGGGGCAGACTTCCTGTCCTGCAGAGGGTGGTTCTGGGAAGGGACAGGCAGGCCCCCAGGTCAGCACAGCCCACCCGGGGTTACGCACATGGCCATACTGACACGCACACAGGACAGGGGAGAGCTCGGCTATCTGAGCTGGAGTAGAGGCGGAGGGGTACTGTGTTCTGGGAGGTCACATCTATATGGCCACACACACACACAATGCACACACACACACAATGTACACACACACAAATGTACACACAAGTACGCTTCACATGACCTGGGACCCCGGGGTCCACACACACACACTGAGTCCCTCGCCTGTGCACACATAAGCCCCATGCCAGGGCACGGCACATTTGTGTACTTGTGTGTTCACCTTTCATGCTCCTGGGCCACAGAGCGGGGGCCTCTAACACTGTCCTTTCTCCCACGCACCACCTACCTGCCACCAAACCCACAAACTGTGCCTGTGCTGGCAACACAACAGGGGAGGTGCTAGCCCCTTCCTCGCACCAGAAACCCAGGCCTGCGTACCCCTCAGTCGCACCCTGGTGTGGGGAGCAGCCTGAGGGCTCAGCAGGAGAAGTGTCAGGGATGGGTCTTGGGACCCAGCCCACCCTGAGTGGCCACTGCCACACTGGCCACTCCAGTACGTCTGAAATAAACAGTTCCCCAAACCCGAGTTCCCTGAGGCAGAGCCCAGAGCATCCGATGGGGCAGTGGGGGACACACAGTCCTCTCCCAGGTCCAAGGCGGGTGTGTGAGGAAGGGGTCGTGTCCTGATCTTTGATCTGTGCAGGGAAGTCCTTGGCATTTTGCCTCATCAGTAACATTCCTACAAGTAGCCCTTTCCTTCCAGGAGGCATTCGTGTGGTCCCTGCACCCATGCCAGCATGCATGGTTTGTGCCTGGTGTGGCCCCTGCCTGGGGCCACCTCAGCCTTGCCATGTGTGAGCACACTGAGGGGTACCAGCTTCCAGGGGCTCGGGGCTATGCTGGGCAGAGACATGGAGGAAGATGAGGATCTGGGTGTGAGCGTGCAGAGCCCTGAGGCCAGGCAGGCAGGAAGCTCTGGCTGCACAATGATGTAGCCATGTGTGTGGCCACACGGGCACTGGGCAGCGCCTCTGGGGAGAGGGGCGGGGCAAGGACAACTGGAGAGACAAACCCAGATGGGGCCACATCCTTAGAAGTGTGTGTATACGCACATGTGTGTCCGTGTGTGTATTAACGCAGGGCAGAAACACACCATGCAGGCCAGGCGTGGTGGCTTAGGCCTGTAATGCCAGCACTGAGGGAGGCCAAGGCGGGAGGATCACCTGAGGTCAGGAGTTCGAGATCAGCCTGGCCAACATGTCAAAACCTCATCTCTACTAAAATACAAAAATTAACCGGGCGTGATGGCAGGTCCCTGTAATCCCAGCTACTTGGGAGGCTGAGGCATGAGAATCGCTTGAGTAAGGGAGGCGCAGGTTGCAGTGAGCTGAGATCGCACCACTGCACTCCAGCCTGGGCGACAGAGCAAGACTCCGTCTCAAAAAAAAAAACAAAAAAAAACAAAAATAAAAAACACACCATGTAGAGAGCCCCTAACACACACACATGCACGCACATGCCTGCCACACACACACAGCCGCATTCTAGGTAGCAAGAGATATACATTTCTGTGCCCTCCCAAAGCAGGTGGCCAGTACCCAGTGTGGAGGGCTCTATCTGAGAAGACCTATCAACACTTCAGGCACATCCTGGACACACACACACACACACAGACACACACACACCCTTCCGGGACACACAGCAGCCCCTGGAGGAATGAAGACATGGGGTGTCTGCCATGGCCTGCGTGTACCTGGGCCTCCCTGGATCCTCTGAGAATGTGAGTGTGAGTACACACACACCACCCGCCTGGTTTGTAGCAGACGCAAAGGGCTCGGGTATCAGTGGCTTCGTTGCTGTTGCATTAGGTTCAAACACTCAAACACAAAATTCCACGTACACAAATGGCGTGTCCACAGATCTGTGGTCTCACTCACACACACACACCATTCACAGAGGACAGAGAGGGGCGTGGTGGGCAGCTGTGTTACACTCGGCTGCAGTCTACACAACAGCCTCGGTGAAGGGGGAAGCTCAGACCACGCACACATACCCGAGGCGGGGGCAGGGGGGTGCTCTGGTGCATCACACACATCACACGCACACACACGCTGGGGTGTCCACACGTCTTGAGCATGTGCCGGCGGCATGCATGTTGGTGTGCATGTGTAATCACGCCTGCTGCGATCTACGTGCGGGGGCGGGGGGGGGGTCCATGGCCGGGTAAGGTCCAGGGACACCAGGGTCTGCCATGGGAGTGGAGGAGGGGTGGGGCTGCCTGGGTCTGTTTTGAGGGTGAGCCTGGAGCAGGGGAAGGAGTGAAAGGGGTGGTGGGGGTATTGCTCCCGATGTGGTGGGGGAGGGGTCTGGGAGAGAGAAGGGTGGGGGGCCTACAAGCCCAGCGTCCCCCCAATGGATGACGCCAAGACCACCCCCAGCACCACACAGCAAATGATGATCATGATTTTCTTCTGCAGCAGAAAGAGGAGCGAGACAGGGAGACAGTGAGAGAGACCGACACATGGACAGATGCAGGGACAGACGGGGCAGAGGGTGGCAGGGAGAAGAGGGGAGAGAAAACAGAAACAGGAAGAGGTCAGAGCCAGAGATAAGGCTTCCCGCCCGCTGCCATCACTCACCTCAGCCCGGGCTCAGCCTTGGGCTCCCCCGCCTACCCCCAAGCCGCCTGCCCCGCTCACCCTCCGGGCCTTGCTCTGATATTTCACTGCTTTCTTGGTGTCAGACACAGCTCGCTCCACGTAGTCTACAGAATGTTCCACGTTGTACTCGATGCGGTCAATCATCTCTCCCTGCAGACAGAGGAGATGTGCACAGGGAGGGATGGGGACTAGGCTGGAAGAGGGGACCTCGGGCCCAGGGAGGTTCCCAGGGTGGCATGGGTGGCAGAGCCGGTACCTGGCTCTCTACAAGCATGGCCATGTCCACAAACATGTCGTGCAGCTCACGGATGCTGGTCTCCAGCTTGATGATCTCATTGTGCCTTGTCTCGATCTCATTCAGCGCCTGCTTCGTCATCTGTGAGTCCATTTTGATCTAGGGCGACGAGGGAGAGAGCTACGATTCCCCTTCACCCCCATGAGCGCCTCCACCGCAGCAGAGTGGCCGGGGCCAAATCCGATGTCATTTACTAGCTGAAACCTTAGGCACATTATTTATCTGCTCTTGGTCTGTTTCCCCACCTAGAAAACGTGAATCATAACACTGCCCACCTCACAGTGTGGTTGTGAAGACTGAGTGAGTTAAAATGTGCACATCGGCCAGGCACAAGGGCTCACACCTGTAATCCCAGCACTTTGGGAGGCGGGTAGATCACCTGAGGTCAGTTTGAGACCAGCCTGGCCAACATGGCGACACCTCGTGTCTACTAAAAATATAAAAATTAGCCTGGCATGGTGGTGGGCACCTGTAATCACAGCTACTCGGGAGGCTGAGGCAGCAGAATTGCTTGAACCCGGGAGGCAGAGGTTGCAGTGATCTGAGATCATACCACTGCACTCCAGCCTGGGCAACAAGAGCGAAATTCCATCTCAAAAAAAAAGAGTCAGGGCCGGGCGTGAGGGCTTAAGCCTGTAATCCCAGCACTTTGGGAGGCCAAGGCAGGTGGATCATGAGGTCAGCAGATCAAGACTATCCTGGCTAATGCGGTGACACCCGTCTCTACTAAAAATACAAAGAATTAGCCAGGTGTGGTGGCGGGCACCTGTAGTCCCAGCAACTTGGGAGGCTGAGGCAGGAGAATGGCGTGAACCTGGGAGGCGGAGCTTGCAGTGAGCCGAGATCGCGCCACTGCACTCCAGCCTGGGTGACACAGCGAGACTCCATCTCAAAAAAAATAAATAAATAAAAAAAGAGTAGGGAGAGGCTGTAACCTCAGAACTCTGTGAGGCCAAGGCAGGAGGATCACTCGAGCCCAGGAGTTTGAGGCCAGCCTGGGCAACATAGTGAGACTTTGTCTCTACAAAAAAAAAAAAAAAAAGGAAATTAGCTGCACATGGTGGCACCTGTGGTCCCAGCTTCTCAGGAGGCTGAGGCAGGAGGATTGCCTGAGCCCAGGAGGTCAAGGCTGCAGTGAGCTGATTGCTTCACTGCACTCCAACATGGGCCAAAGAGTGAGACCATGCCTCAAAAAACAAACAAACAAACAAACAAACAAAAACTGCCAGTGGGGAAGAGATTCCAACCCACAGTCAGATATGCCTCCTCTCCACAAACACCCAGCCTGAGCCAGGTGACTCACTTCCCAAATTACTCACTGCTCTTACCACATTGAGCCACTCCTCTCCTCTACAGCCTGCCATCGCTCCCCACACCCAAGGCTCCACACCTTCCCTTCAGCAGTTAAGGCCCAGACTCCCTCTCCCCTCATCTCCTGCTTATCCTATGACCATTCTATAAGCCGAAATCATCCAACGGCTGTTTGGACAGTGTTCAGTCTCCCTGTCTTTGTGTGTGTGTGTGTATGTGTGTGATTTTTGTTCTTTGTTGAGACAAGTTCTCGCTCTGTGGCCTAGGCTGGAGTGCAGTGGTGCTAACAGCTCATTGCAGCCTTGACCTCCTGTACTCAGGCGATCCTCCCACCTCAGTCTCCCGAGTAGCTGCAACCACAGGCACATGCCACCACACCTGACTAATTAAAGCAGGTCGTTTCACCATAGGACTGATTTGCCTACATTAAAAGAAACTGTTTTTTAAATCAAAAAACTTTTTTTTGTAGAGATGGGGTCTCAGTTTGTTGCCCAGGCTGGTCTATGGACTTCTGGACTCAAGCCATCCATCTGCCTTGGCCTCCCAAAATGCTGGGATTACGGGTGTGAGCCACCATACCGGGCTGCTCAATGCATTTTCAACAAAGATCAGTTCTCCAAATAACAATGAGCTGAAAACTTTTAAGACAATCATAGCGCATCCTTTAAACCTGGTCTAGAACCCTTAACCAGAGTCATTTTGCCACCAGAAACAGAAATGGAGACAGGAGTGGGCAGGCCGGGGCAAAAGTCCACTGAGAGAAACAAGAACTAGGCTCAGGGAAAGCCCATGTTTGTTTGTTTGTTTTTTTTTTTAAGAGACAGAGTCTGTGCCCAGGCTGGAGTGCAGTGGCAAGATCTCGGCTTACTGCAATCTCCGCCTCCCAGGTTCAAGTGATCCTCCTGCCTCAGCCCCCAGTAGCTGGGATTACAGGCATGCACCACCATGCCCGATTAATTTTTGTGTTTTTAGTAGAGACGGAGTTTCGCCACGTTGGTCAGGCTGGTCTCGAACTCCTGACCTCAGGTGATCTACCTGCCTCGGCGTCCCAAAGTGCTGAGATTACAGGCATGAGTCACCACGCCCAGCCAGCCCATTCTTTCATATGTAAAAGGTCAAGAGCAGCACAGGGGGCAAACCTAAGCAAAACTAAAACTTGCTTTTTTAAAAAAAATCTTCAAAACGTAGGTAAATTAGGCTGGGTTTGGTGGTTCACATCTGTAATCCCAGCACTCTGGGAGGCTCAGGCAGGCAGATTGTTTGAGCCCAGGAGTTTGAGATCAGCCTGGGCAACAGGAGAAGAACCCCCATCTCTACAAAAAAAGGTTTTTTAGGCCAAGTGGTGGGTGCCTGTAATCCCAGCTACTCGGGAGACTGGGGCAGGAGAATCGCTTGAACCCAGGAGGCGGAGGTTACAGTGAGCTGAAATCTCGCCATTGCACTCCAGCCTGGGTGACAAGAGCAAAACTCCATCTTGAACCAAAAAAAAAAAGTTTTTTTTTAATTAAAAAAAATAATTTCTTTTAATGTAGGCAAATCAGTTCTCTGGTGAAACGACCTGCTTCAGTAGCAGAGTATGTCGTGTATCCTAGGGCTCAAGAGTTCTGACTCTGAAACCAGACAGGATTCAACTCCTGGCCCTCCCCTTCGCTCTGAGATCTTGCCAAGTGATTTCATCTCTCTGGGCCAGTTTTCCTCATCTGTGAAATGGGGTTTCCTCGAAGGGGATGTGTGAGTATTAAATGAGTTGGTGGGTGAATGTGAAGATGGAAAGTGCTTAGAACAGTGCCTGGCACACGAACGACTCCGTCATCTGATGGGGGTGCCTTCCTGCTCCGCTCCCATGGAATTCCCCAGTTCCTGGCTCACGCTTCCCGCTGCTCATTTTTCCAGGGTGAACTTAGGACCTTAGTTCAACCTGAACTTAGGGAGGGGAGGCAAAATTTTCCAAAAACAGAACCCGCCCCACCCGCGGCTCACGTCATCTGTGAAGATAGCCAGCTTCCCGCTCTCCAGCATGTCTTCCAGTTCTTCGTTGGTGGTGGTCCTTCCAGCTGCGGGAAGAAAGGACGCCCTGCTCAGCGGCTGGGACAGCCTGGGGGCCTGAGCTGGGGTGATGGGGCGGGGACCCGGAGCCCACCCTCCCAAGCCGCCTTAGGCCACTGGCCCCCTCCAGAGAGGAAATGCCTGGAAGGGGGCTTGGGCAGCCTCGAGGAGTTTGGGGTCCTGGGGTGGGGGGCACACGCACTGATCTCCAGTTGCCGCTGGATCCGGTCCTTGCAGCGGTCCCGGTACTTGGACTGGGTCGCGTTATATTCGGTCATTACCTCCACGAACTTCCGGGACAGTGTGGAGTGCTACGGTGGGGGTGGGAGGACAGACGGATCAGGGAGGGAATTAGGGAGCAGACACCGAGGCAGGTGAGGAGGCAGTGCACGGGCGGAATAAGGAGGACGCGCTGAATTAGTTTACGGTCCTTTCTTCAGCCTGGGCCGCGATCCCAAACCCTGACAAGTTCATGGTTCCCTACCCGCCCCGTACCCCCATCTTAGGCTAGCACCAGCTAGGGACACTGCTACGGAGCTGAGATACGGCTCGCCCCGCCCCGGGGCCCCGCCCGCCTCTAGCCTCGCCCCCAGAGCCCCGCCCCAGCCCTCCCTGACCACGCCCCCGCTCGTGCTTGGCCCTGGCCCACCGCCTCCAGCCTGGGCGCCTCCAGCCTGGGCTCCTCCCGAGTCGGGTCCCCGCCCGGCCCCCGCTGGGCTGCCACCTCCTACCTGGGTCTTGCGGATGCGCAGGTCCGCGGAGGAACGGTTGAGCCCCTCCTCCTGTTCAATGCTTTGCTCGATCGCTGCGGGAGAGAGGGCGCAGTGAAGGGCGGGAGACCCGGGGCACATGGGGCGGGGGTCCGGGGAGTACGAAGGGTCAACACCCTGCGGCAGAGCCAGACCCGGGGAGAAAGGTCATTCCCAGGGCGAGTGGGAGCAGCGGTGCCCCAGGGTAGGATTAGGAGCCAGCAGATAAACAGACGAACAGAACAGACGTTTGAGGGGGTTCCGAAGGCCGGCAGGAAGGGATACTGAGGGTCAGAGGGTCACCAGACAGAACGGAGCTATTTGTTCTAGTGGCAGAACTGGCTCTTGGAAAGTCCCATCAGTGGTAACTCCTGTCCAACCCCATGAGGGGGTGCCGGCCCACCCCGCGGGAAGGGGCCTTGTAGGTGGGGTGCTCCCTACTTCCTACAGCCCCTGAACAGGGGGCAAGAACGCAGCCCGCGTTTTTTCTGGTGGAAGGCAGTCACCTCCAGGTGGGTCAGGTTCTAGTGGCCCCTCTTTCCCTGGGGAATTCAAGGGCAAACACATGGATATTCCAAGGGAGAAAGCAGCCCCCTCTCTGCTCTGCAAGGTGATCCCCGATCTGGGAATTCCCACTTCTGAAGGACGTTCTGGAAAAGTGCACAGATTAACTGAGATTCCTGCTTCTGGATCACGCACTCCTGACACTATCATTCCGATTTTCTAAAAAAAAGATTGTGGTAAAATCTACCTCGGTGAAATCAGAAAATGCAGCAGGGATGAATCACCAGCCCTCTCAGACCTCACCGGCCTCCAGGCCATTCCTAAGAGCCTCACTCTTCCATTCTGCTGGCAGTGGGGAAGGTACCCGCGGATGGCACCCCAAGGCTCCCCCGATTGAGTGACAGCTCTGGCCCAGCAACACACGGCCCAGGGAGATTGGAATCGGCTGGCCTAGATTGGGGCCCTATTGTCAGCCTTGGGGCTGGAGCCAAGTCCAGAGAGAGGGGTCTCTTGCAGGATCTCACTGACTTTTTACAACATTCCTGGAATTTCAGTGATACCAGTTCATATTTTAGACTAGAAACTCAGGTTCCAATAGGCGAAACCACTCACTCAAGGTCACACCCAAAGCATGAACTCATGCCACCAGCTGGAAGAGGACGAAGAGAATCCTGTCTTCTTTCCTGGAGGTCTGAAAGGTCAACTTCTCTAAACCACGGTCACTTTTCCAGCTTCTTTCTCAGGGCATTCCTGAACCCCTCACCCACAGAGCCCTCCCCAGGGTCTTACAGAGAGTGTTCAAGGTCAAGGCTTGATGGAAACCATTGAGCCCAGCGGATTTTTTTTTTTTTTTTTGAGACGGACTCTCGCTCTGTCGCCCAGGCTGGAGTACAGTGGCCGGATCCAGCTCACTGCAAGCTCTGCCTCCTGGGTTACGCCATTCTCTCGTGCCTCAGCCTCTCGAGTAGCTGGGACTACAGGCGCCCGCCACCTCGCCCGCTAGTTTTGTTTTTGTATTTTTTAGTAGAGATGGGGTTCACCGTGTTAGCCCAGGATGGTCTCGATCTCCTGACCTCGTGATCCGCCGTCTCGCCTCCCCAAAGTGCTGGGATTACAGGCTTGAGCCACCACGCCCCCGGCCGGAGCCCAGGGGATTTTAAACTGCCAGCAGGACCTTGTTTCTGAGAAGGAATTTCAGGGCTGTTGCAGAGAATGAAGAGAGATCAGGCAGGTAGGTGCTCCCAGCTCCAGCTCAGCTAGAACAACCTGACTTTTATGTTTAATATATTGGAATTCTTTGTATGACTTTGGAAAAAGAGAAAAAAAAAAAAAGATTTTGATGCCCTCCACCCCCCATCCCTAAAACAAGCTAATTTTGAAATTGCTTTCATTTTTCTTACAATACTGATAAGGAAGCTGAGAGTAGGGGACTTGTCCACGGTGAGCTGATGGTGGAGGTTGGACTCTGTCTGCCTGGATTTGCACTTAACATTCTCCCAGATTCAGACAGTTTCCATCCAGCAGACTCTCCTGAGTACAAAGGGCCTTGTTTTTACAAATCCACACCAGAGGCTCACCTATGGCCTCCCCTTGAGTCCAGAGGGCATGGAGTTAATACCCTCCTCTCTCTGGACCAAGGTCAGCGCTCTCCGGGCCAGGTAGCTGATACAGTTCCTCTTCCCCAAAGCCTAGCAATGTGCTTCGGACATGTGAGGTGCTCAGCATACGTTTTCTGATACGGAATTACCAGAAGCATGCAAACATCGTGCCGGGTAACACTGCTATTTCCCTGGTATGAGCAGACAAGGAGGTTCCCAACCCACGGTGCTTTGGGGAAGGTGGTTATTACCAGCACCCTAGTCCTTAAATTAGAGTGAATAAATGAACATTTGGCAAGGCCGTCTTGAAAGCTCGCCAGCCCTGATGTCAGCCACACAAGTCCAATCTGTCCTGAGCCAAGGATACGATTCAGAGGCATTTGCTGGGCCCACCCACTGGGTGCTCCGTGCCATGCCGGAGTCCCTGCTTAGGAGAATGAGGACTTAATGAAATCGAAACCACTCGGAAGACCACCTTTTTCTAGTGAACCTTCATGCTGGTGGAACCAGCCGGGCTCAGATGCAATTTAGACAAACACTCTCCTTCTCCCTTAGTTCCTATATCATACATCTTTCTCCAAAGAATTGGAGCAAGGGGGGAAAGCTGGGTTTTGTGCTTTCTCACTGTTTAAATATCTGGCTCTGGAACTTTGTAGAAATTCCTTAGAGAAAGGCCTGTTTTTCTCAATGGATGGGCAAGTTGCTGTTGGGTTTTTGTGTTTTTTTTTTTTTTGAGGAGTCTTGCTCTGTCCCCCAGGCTGGAGTGCAGTGGCGCGATCTCGGCTCACTGCAACCTCTGCCTCCTGGGTTCAAGTGATTCCCCTGCCTCAGCCTCCCAAGTGGCTGGGATTACAGGCACCCACCACCACGCCCGGATAATTTTTGTATTTTTAGTAGAGGTGGGGTTTCACCATTTTGGCCACGATTTAGTTAGGATTTCGAACTCCTAACCTCAGGTGATTCACCCACCTTGGCCTCCCAACGTGTTGGGATTATAGGCGTGAGCTACCACGCCTGCCCCTCCCCCCCCTTTTTTTGAGACAGGGTCTCTGTCTGTAACTCAGGCTGGAGTGCAGCAGCATGATCTCGGCTCACTGCAGCCTTGACACCCTGGACTCAAGCGATTCTTGTGCCTCAGCCTCTCGAGTAGTTGGAACAAGAGGCACGCACTATCATGCCCAGCTAATTTTTTTTTTTTTTTTTTTTGAAATGGAGTCTCTCTGTCACGTAGACTGGAGTGCAGTGGTGTGATCTCAGCTCCCTGCAACCTCCACCTCCTGGGTTCAAGCAATTCTCTGCCTCAGCCTCCTGAGTAGCTGGGATTACAGGCGCCTACCACCACACCAGGCTAATTTTTGTACTTTTAGTAGAGACAGGGTTTCACCATCTTGGCCAGGCTGGTCTTGAACTCCTGACCTCGTGATTCACCTGCCTCGGCCTCCCAAACTGGCCCAGCTAATTTTTGTATTTTTTGTAGAGACAGAGTTTTGCCATGTTGCCCAGGCTGGTCTTGAACTCCTGGGATCGAGCAAATTGGCCTCGCCTTGACCTCCCAAAGGCCTGAGCCACCATGCTCTACCCACAGTTCTTTTCCTCCCTGGTTGACGGGTTGAACTCCTCACCTTTCAATTTGGACCGAACCTTGTTGGCCGTCTTCTTGATGTCTGCAGTGAGGTCCTCCAGCTCCTGTTTGGTCTCTAAGGGGAGAGCGAGGACAAGTGAGATGTCTGGGTGAGAACCCCAGACCCCTTCTCCTCCCACCCCACAGTCACTGGCAGCCACACTCACTCTCATCTGGGTTGGGGGCAGCCAGGATGGCGCTATGCTGTTTTTTCACCTGCTCCACATCCTCCGACAGTTTCTCAATGCAGCCCCGGATCTCTTCCACCTGGAGGAGAAAATCGGCTATACCCAGCCAAGTTGTCAGGCCAAACAACGGGTTCCAGGGGAACCAGCCAGGGTTCAGGGGGAGGACCAGCCCCAGAAGGGCTGATAAAAGGCCGGGGAGAGCGCAGGAGCAGGGAAGTGGGGGACAGGAAAAAGGAAGTTGTTGGTGGCTAGGGGCTGGGTGCTGGGGCTGGGGCTGGGGCTGGGGCTGGGCGCTGGGGCTGGGGCTGCGGCTGGGGCTGGGCGCTGGGGCTGGGGCTGGGCGCTGGGGCTGGGGCTGGGGGCTGGGGCTGGGGGCCTTGGAGGCCCATTACCTGTTCAAAGAACTCATCCATGAAGTGGTCCCGATCCACGTGGACCACCTCCTCTTCATCATCACTGTCTTTTGCCTGGGGGCAAAGGAAGGCTGAGTCCATGAGCAGGCCCTACCTGGGTCCCCAAGGCTGGCTCCCGGCTCTCCTGCCCTCTCCCTGCCATGCACACACAGGTGCTCCCAGCTCCAGGCTCAGAGAAGGGGTCCTGGGAGGGGTCCCATGCAGGGGAGATGACAAAGGCATCAAAAGTATCTGTGAGCCCAAAGGATTCCTTAGAAGAAATTGGCAAAAGACCCCCTCTCAGGGCAGATGTGGCCTTGGGGGCGCAGAGTCAGCCTTGACCAACCAATAGGGATGATTTCAATATTTCAACAACCGGCTCAATGTCAGGCTTGCAGTAACTGACCCTGGGCTCCGTGAAGGGTCCTGGACTGGAGTCCCAGGAGCCTGGATCTCCCTACTGTCCCTGCTCTCCTGCCCGGATCTCCTTCTCTTCCTCTCCTGCCCCACCCGACCAGACATGTCCCCTATGCAAGGTCACTTCACTGACAGCGGCAGGCACGAAGTTGAGCAAGCAGTGAGGGCTGGATAAGAGACACAGGCAGCACCCCGACCTCCCTTGCGCCCTGTGCCCCCCTCCTCCCACCCACTCTCCCTCCCCTCCCAGCCGGCTCTCCCTCGCAGTGGATTCACTTCCTTTCATCCAGCCCCTTCCAACTTCACACCCACCTACTCTTGCTGGCTTGGATTTCCCGGTTGCAACCTGCAGCTGCTCAACCCTCCACCCGCAGGGCTCAGAGACACAAAAGGATTTACCCACCCACAGCACCACTGCCACCGACAGACAGACTCGCAACACAGACAGAAGAGCTGACACCCAAGGCACACAGGAATAGGCCCCCCGACACCCACACGGAGATGCACTGATGCTGGCGTTCACCCGCACGCAGACTCAGCTGAGCCGCACTGACGTGTGCGGACACTGGCGTTCAGCTGCACCCCCGAGGACATTTGGGAGGGCTCACTGGGCTTGTTCTTCCAGCTTCTCCGAGCCTCATGTCTGCACACACGCTCAGAGCTGGACAGGAGGAAAGGCTGTAGGGGAGGCGCACCGTGCTACACACGCCTGAGTCCTTCTCTGCTTGGGACAGAGGTCTGACGGCAAAATCTGAGCCCATCAAGCTTAATGACATCTGTAGCCCTGATCAGTCCCAATGGAAATGCATACAGAGTTCATCCTGATTTCCAAAAAGAACCCAGCCAGAGCTCAGACAGAATCCAACCCCCAGAGCCTGGGTGAAATCAAGACAGGATCCAAACAGCATCCACCTGGGGGTGTAGTCCGTTGGCATCTAAAAAGAAGAGCTCGCCAGGGTCCCAGCGGAATGCAGACAGGGCCTGACAGAAACCAGACAGGCTCGGACTGAACTAGCCGAGGCTCACACAGATCCCAGACAGATCCCAGACAGCTCAGATTGAACCTAGACAGGGCCAGATGGGACCTAGGTGCAGTCCACACAGCCAAAACTCAGTATCACCAGCGCCCCACAGCCCCGGGAAAAGCCCGCACAGCCCCGGGGGCCTCCAGCTCCACGCTCCTGAAGCCACCCCAGCCTTCCTGCTAAGCCCGGCCCAAATGGAGCTCCAGGGAGTCTTCACACAGACGCTGGGCCCACACTGTGTCGGAAAATGCGTTCAGCGCTTGTGTTGAATTTCCAGACAATCCCAAACATCTGCCTGGAAAGGGGGTTTCCTCCATCTTGGCTCACAGCTGCCCCCAGAAAGTGGGGTGGCACAGGTGGCATAAGTTGGGGACCCTGAGAGGCTCTGGGATGCTGGGCTCACCTCTGGGGACCCATTGGCCTACCCTGATGCTCTTCATTTTCTCTGTTCTCAAAACCCAGCTGTGCTACAAGGCCTTCTTCCCCTAGAGCCAAAAGCCTTCCTCTGCCCTTTCCCTCCCTTCAACCACTCACTCAGCCACCAGCCTCACGCAGGTCATGCGGCCTCTCCCTGGCCCAGGAGACTGAGGACTTTCCCGTTCTCTGTCTCTCTCCCTTCCCCCTGCTAACGTTAGGAAGTCCTTCCTAAAATCTAATTTCAATCTCTCCTGTTGTTCTTGGAGCCACCTCCCTTAGGTTCATCTCTGGAGCACCCTGGGCTACCTATTTGTCCTCAAGAGAGGAAGAAAGATAGAAGGCCCCCGTGTGGTTTATTTGGTATAATAAATGCAAAGAGAGCTGGGAGCTAATAATCCTCTACCATTTACAAACACTTTTACATCCATAATCCATTGTGATCCTCAGCACCACCAGCCCTTCGAGAAAAGCTGCGCAAACATCATCGTCCCCATTTCACAGATGAGGGAACAGGAAGCCAGAGGGGAAAAAGGAGAGTGACTTGCCCAAGGGCACCCAGGCCATATAGGGCCGGAAAACCATGGGCATCCAGGCCCGCAAAGACCCCTGTTAGGCTTCAGACTGGGCTACCTCCCCCGCTGACTTTCCGCTCCCAGTTACTTTCCCTCTCAGGTGAGCGCCTGCTAAATCCCGATCTGGGGAAGGCTCTGTGTCCGGACAACCTAGCAAAATATGATCACTTGATGGTATTTTTTGCATAAGTCTTACATTCTTGTTATCTCCTTTAATCTTCATTAGAACTCTGTAAGGACCATTGGCCAACATAATTAAAATTATGCAAATATTTAGATGGTGTTTTACAATGTGCTGGGCATTGTTCTATTTGCTCCACATATATTTATCCATTTCAGTCTTACAACAGCTCCCTCGGAGGTATTATTATTATTATTTTTGAGACAGAGTCTCGCTCTGTCGCCCAGGCTGGAGTGCGGTGGCGCAATCTCAGCTCACTGCAAGCTCCGCCTCCTGGGTTCACGCCATTCTCCGGCCTCAGCCTCCCGAGTAGCTGGGATTACAGGCGCCCGCCACCATGCCCGGCTAATTTTTTGTATTTTTAGTAGAGACGGGGTTTCACCGTGTTGGCCAGGTTGGTCTTGATCTCCTGACCTTGTGATCTGCCTGCCTCAGCCTCCCAAAGTGTTGGGATTACAGGCGTGAACCACCATGCCCGGCCCCTAGGAAGTATTATTATAGCCCCCGTTTATAGATGGGGAAACTGAGGCATAGAGCTAAATAACTCAGGCCAGTTGTAGTGGCTCACGCCTGTAATCCTAGTACTTTGGGAGGCTCTGGTGGGAGCATCGCTTGAACCCAGGAGTTCAAGACCAGCCTGGGCAACATAGCAAGACCATGTCTCCACAAAAAATACAAAAATTAGCTGGGCATGGTGGTGGGCATCTGTAGTCCCAGCTACTTGGGAGGCTGAAGTAGGAGGATCCCTGGAGCTTAGGAGGTTGAGAGACTGCAGTGAGCCGTGATTGTGCCACTACCACTGCACTCCAGCCTGGGTGACAGAGCGAGACCCCGTCTCTTAAAAAAAAAAAAAGGAACTTGCCCCAGGTCAGCTGTTAGAAGACCATTTGGCTCTACCCCTGAGCCTCAGTCTCTGCATTTGCTAAATGGTAACAACGCCTACCCCTGGCCGATCCCGTGTTACAGACAAGGAAACAGGCTCAGAGAGGTTGCTTGACCTGCCTAAGGCTTCACAGCAAATAAGGCCAGAGGTAGGACCTGAACCCAGGACTGTCTGGCACTAAATGTCAGGCTCTCTCCCTTCTGTCCTGCTGACAGATGGCAGTCCCTCCTGGTCACAAAGAGCCCACTCTGCCATGTCCTCAGGATTGCTGAATTCCTGCGGCCAGGATGGAAAATCAGTAGGAGGGGCCCAGGGCTGCAGGAAGAGCTTGGACAGGAGGCCAGGCCTCCCAGCCTCCGTCTGTCTTGCTGTGTGACCCCAGGCAAACCTCGACTCCTCCCTGGGCCCCAGTTCCCTCGTCGCTGAAATGAGCAGGCTGGTGCAAGTACCTGCCCTGCTTTGAGGGGCCCTCCCTGCTCTGAGTGATGCATATTTAGTAATGAGCACAGCATCCATTTCTGGAAGAACTTAGGCCAGTCAAAAAGAAAGCAGGCTGTGGGCAAACCAGACTACCTAGGAAAAGATGATCAAATGTGCCCCAGTCTACTTGATGGTGGCCTCAGGTTACAGGTGAACGATTCAAGCCTCAGTTTCCTCATGTGCAAATCGAGGAGGATAACAGTTCACACACATGTAACACATATATGCTGATTACCATGAGTTGGGGGCTATGACAAGTGCTTTGCATTTCTTTTTCCCTTTTTTTTTTTTTTGGAGAGATGGGGTCTCACTATATTGCCCAGGCTGGTCTCAAACTCCTGGGCTCAAGAGTTCCTCCCTCCCTGGCCTCCCAAAGCTCTGGGACGACAGGTGTGAGCCACCGCACCCAGCCTGCATTTCTTGTTTAATTCTCACGACCACTCCATGAGGTCATATTCTTACTCTCATTGGACGGATGAGGAGGTGGAGGTGCAGAGAGATTGGGTAACTTGCCGAAGATCACACAGCTGATGGGATGACTCAAACCCAGGCACTCTGCTCTATAGCACACGGCTCCTTGAGCACTTGAGGGGGATTGAAGGAGAGAGTGCAGTGCCCCTGAACCCCTTCCAGAAGCACCTGGGGGCTGCGCATATCAGATCCCAGCCTCCAGCTGTAGCCTGACCTCCTCAGGGGCTCCCTAAGTCCAGGTCTTCCACGCCGGAGCCACCACGGGCCTCGACATGGGCCTCGTGTGTATATTGATGCGGAGCGACAGCAAGGACAGATACAGAAACGTAAGGAGGAGAGTGACAGTGAGAGCCAGCAAGTCAGTGACCAGAGAGACAGATGGTGAGATGGTGACAAAAACACAGAGGCGGCAAGAGACTGGAATTGGGTGACAGAAAAGTCAGAGGGAGAGAGTGTGCATGCGTGTGAGTGTGTGTGTGTAAACACATGCGTGCCCCAGCACTGACACACACGGGCTCCCCGTGCTCCTCAGGGGTGCAAGCATCATCGTTTGATCGGAGGCAGCAGCCTCCCCCCATGCCCCTTCCCCCACCCTCTGCCTCAGTCCATCTGTCTCCCTGGCTGGGGCCTCTCCTTGCTCCCTCCCCCGTGCAGCCTGGCCCTCTCGCCCCGACCTCTCCTCCATCTTTCCTGCCTTACCCCTTGCCCCTTCCTCATCCTCCCTCTGCCTCATGGAGTCATTCATTCATCTAACAGATGCGTTGGATTTGTGCCAGGTGCTCTATCTGGGTGCTGCTGGCGATGTGGCGGTGAAGAAGACAGGCGAGAAGGGCCTGCCTCCAGGGAGCTGGCATTCCAGTGGGGGAGGCAGACAATGGGAGGTGAACAAGACCATTTCAGATTGTGCTGAATAGCAGAAGGGAGATAAGCAGAAAGATGGGATCGAGAGACACGGGGACTGGGGGGGATTGTGGAAGGATTTCTACAGGACAGTCAGCAGCGCTTTTCTGGGGAGGTGACATCTGAGCTGGGCCCTGAAGGAGCCAACTGTGCCACAAAGATGGGGAAACAGAATTCAGGGCAGAGGGAACAGCATGCACGAAGGTCCTCGGACAGGAGTAAACTTGTGTGTTTGGATGTCAGAAAGAAGCCCAGTGCCGGCCCAGCGTGGTGGTTCATGCCTAGAATCCCAGCACTTTGGGAGGGCGAGGCGGGAGGATCATTTGAGGCCAGGAGTTCAAGACCAGTCTGGTCAACATAGACCCCATCTCTACAAAAGTAAAAAGAATTAGCCAGGCATGGTGGTGCGCATCTGTAATCCCAGCTACCTGAGAGGCTGAGGCAGGAGGATCCCTGGAGACCAGGAGGTCGAGGCTGCAGTGAGCTGTGATTGTGCCGCTGCACTCCAGCCTGGGCAACAGAGGAAGACCATGCCTCTAAAAACATTTTTTAAAATATAAATAAAGGCAGCCCAGAGCAGCTGGAGGATATGGATCCATCACCCAGGGTTCGTGGTCTCCGCCCCCTGTGATTTCAGGGCTGCGTTTCTAAAGCACCTACTATGCCTGCCTCATACCTGAGGGCCTTCAGGGCTCGGGACCGTCCCTCAGCAGGCTTCATCCTGTCCAGCCTCAGATTCAGGCTCCTGCACTGCAGGCCCCGCCTTCTTCCCAGGTTGTCTCCCCACTTCTCCCGCTCGACTCCACAGCTGCCTCTCAGACCTCAGCCCTCCCTGTGCCCCTCCTGTCTTCTCCCATAACCCACCTTCCTCTCCACCTCACTTGCTCCACTCTTTCCTCTTGAGCCCCACTCTGCCCTCACTCCTTGGACCCTGGGACACCTATTTAGCTGATTAACTCCTCATCGCAGCCTCCACATCCAGCCTAGCACCAACCAAAGTTGCCTGGTAAACTGGACGCAGAAAACCCTGGTTCAAGCCCACCTCGACCATTAAGAGTTATCTGACCTTGGACAAGTCAGGTTTTCTTTCCCTCTCTGGCCCTCAATGTACTCCAAAATAAAATAGGGGCCATGTCCTGCCCATCGCAGGGGGCTAGTGTGATGTTGAAGAGAAACCATCTGCTGGGTAACAGACACACAGCACTATTGGGCGCCAGGCCCCCTCCTAGGCGCCTTGCATATTAACTACTTTCAATCCTCAGGATAACCCTGTGAAACAGGTACTCTTACTTCTCCCAATTCATATGTGAAGAAATTGAGGACCAGAGAGGTTAAGCAACTTGCCCAAGGTCACACAGGAAGTAGCAAAATTAGAATTTGAACCCAGACAGTCTGGCTCCCGAAACCACTGTGTGACAAACGGACTTGAGAACCTCTTGGGAATGCCAAGGTACTGTTGGAAAGACAATCAGTCCCCTGGGCTAATGTCCCCTCCCACCACCGCCCCTGCCTCATCCCTCCCAGTGTCTCAGAGACCCCATTTCCGGGTCTCCCACACCCTCTCCAGTGTCTCCGGCATCCCAACCTCCTCACTCTCCACTGCAGCAGGGAGACCCTTACACTACCCGAATCTGTGGGCTTTTCCCACCCCGCCCGCCCCCTCTTGAATCTCCAGTTTCCCTGAGCTGTGACTAATACCAAAGCCACCACCTCCACTCAGCCCCTTCACCCTTCCACACCACCTCTGGCAGCCACCGCCAGCAGGATTCCTTACCTCTGAGCAGGGGCCCCTGACTCATTCATGAGGCCTCCCCCTTCCCTGCCTCCCCCTTACCCCGCTTAGCCTTTTCTCTCCCTCTTTCTTGAATTATACCCCAATTCCACACCACCTGATCTCAACCCACTTCCATTTCCCTGGGTTTTGGAGTCATGGAATAGTCCTGGTAGCTGGCGAGCTGGGTTCAAGTCCGGATCCCTCACCTGCTAGCTGTGTGACCTTTGGCAAGTTATTCAATCACTCCGGGCCTCAGTTTTCCCAACTCGAAAATGAAAGAGCCTCTCTGTCCACTTGCCAGGAGGTCGGTGGGGCTCCAATGAGATCACAGATGAAAGCCGGCTCTGCAAACTGCACCATGAGGAGGGGAACTGACAGCACCGATGCTGAAGCCGGCCTGCCTGGATCTGAATTCTGCCTTTACCAGCTGTGTGACTTTGGTCTAATTACTTAACCTCTCTGAGCTCAGGGTCCTTATCTATAAAATCAGATAGCATATATCTATATATCTAAAAAGATATTTATATATCTATGAAATGAGATAACCAGTCTCATAGGATTGCTGTGAGGATCAAAATGGGCGAATGTGCATAAAACACTTCAAACAATGTTTATTATTACTGTCATTTTCCTCATGCCGGAGTGTATATTCGGTAAAAATGTAATAAAGAAACCTTCAAAATTCCCTCCCTCAGCCACCAGCTCCTCCTTGCTTCCCACTTGACAACCTGTCTGTCCCCAGAGACAGCAGTCACTTGCCTCCAAACACCTTCTCTTCTGTCTGTAACCCGGGTCCCCACCCCGAAATCCAGGGGACAGCTCTTCACCCCCAGTGCTGAAACTTCTGTTTCAAAGGCCAGAAAAGCAGAGACCTGTGTCAACCTGGCAGATGGGAAACCCAGATTGTAGTCTGCCCCCCACCCACTTGCTTGGTGACCTTGGGCAAGTCCCTTCCCATGCCTGAATCTCAGTTTCCTCATCTGTCAAATGGGGTAATAACCCCTGGGTTAACAACCCACCAGTTCCCTGTAAAGGCTCAGTGCCTTGGGCAGCTTAGCCGGGCCGGTACCCTTATTAACATAACACCAGCAGCCCAGCTCAGCGGGGACTGTCAGCGCTGCCTCCTCTGGCCCCAGGTCATTTCTCCAAATGCCCCAGCGTTCTCCCTGCCCCGGAAACCATTCTCATCCAGCCTCACTCCCCAGTTCCTCCAGGCAGCAGCCTCCACTGCAGTCCTTACCCTGTCCCCACAAAACCAGGGACTGCCTGGCCAGACTCGAGCCGGGCCTCTTTGGGCCTGCAGACCTGGGACCTGCATCAGCCCTTGACTGCCTAGGGTGCCCCAGTTCCCCCCAGCAGAGCGCGGCCTGTGTTCCATGGCCCTGTCCTCCGCATCCCCATCTCCCACCTCTGGGTCACCCCATCTCAGGCCCTGGCCCTCTGGCTCTCTCCGGAGGCCACCTCTTCCCTCCCTGTCTCAGAGAGATTCCCCCTCCCTATGGGGAGTGACACGCGTGTGTGCACACACACACACACACACACTTCATTCACTGCCAGGTACTGGCATCTCAGTCCCAACCTGTGTCCTTCCCTGTAGCATCCCCTGAATCTGGGTCCTGCTAGACTCTCAGCCTGGCCCAGTCACCGCCCCCACGCTTCTCTTTGGCAAATCTGCCCAGGGGATGACAGTCCCCTCCGGTCTCTCCTGACATCCACTCTCTCCCATCTCCAGACCAGACCCCGGGGCCCTCCTGGGAATGCGGGGTGTTCGAGGCCCCTGAGACCCTTCCTGCCCCCTCGTGTCTTAATGGCCTCCAACCCCTTCCAGCTACTGTCCCCAAAATGCAGGTTCACTGGAGAGACATCAGGCGCCTGAAGATATTGGGGTGCCTTGGCCATCAACCTCCGATCTCATCCTTCGCCCCCACGTTCCAGCACCTCCCCCACTCCATCCCCACGCGCTCCCCAATACTGGGGTCCCGCCCCCCCATTCTCCCCACCCCCAAGCTCACACTCCGCAGCTCCTGAGTCCGATCCTTCATCCTGCGACGGCTCCTCCTCCTCCTCCTCGTCCTCCTGCCTCTGTTGCTGCTCCCGGTCTCCCGCCTCGGTGCCGGAGGCCGGGGTCTGGGGGCGCCGGGGGGCGCCGCGGCCGCTGCGGGGGGCCTGCGGGCCGGGGCGGGGGCGGGGCCGGGGGTTGCTGGCCGAGGGCCGGACAGGGGCAGGGGCAGGGGCCTGGGCCGGGCTCGGCTCTGCCGGGCTGCGGTGGCGATGCGGCTGCGGCACAGGGTAGGATGGAGGGATGCGGGAGCCGAGCGCGGGGGAGGGGGGCGGAGGGAGGTGAGGAGGAAGCGAGGGCGGGGGGAGCGGGAGCGCGCAGGGAGCAGGGGGCATGCGCAGCGCCCGGGCCGGGGGCGCCTGGGGGTTGTAGTCACGGGCTTGGGGGACACCCGAGGAGGGGGCGGGAGAGGCCTGGAGGCGGGTGGGGGTGGGCAGAGCCCCAGGAGCAGGGAGAGATGCGGAGGGCCAAGAGGAGATGCTAGGGTGGCCCGGGGGGGTGGGGTGGCCCGGTGGAAAGAGGGGGTGAGGGAATGAATTCAGGGAATAACCTGGGAGCCGGGATGTGGATCCCTTTCCAGTAGACACAGATAGCGGCTGTGTTTTGTATCTGGTGTCTGCGTGAGGCTGCGCGCGACCACCTCTGCGTGCGAGCCCGTGTGTGTTCCTGCAGGAGGCTCTTTAGACACTAGAAATAGAAAGACTGACCCTCTGTGTGGTTTTTACAATGCAGGGAACCAGCCAGGTGCTTGCCAAGAAGGCCACGGGGCTTGTGTTGCACAGCCTGGGCCTCTCCCGCTGCAGTGGGTCTTGGAGCTCTGCTTGTCTGCCTCCGGGAACAGGGTGTTCACTACCTCCCAGGACCTCCTGGCCCATCTGCAGATGGCTCTGACTGTGGAACATGAAATTTGTCCTTAGTGGGAGGGGAAATCAGGCGCCCCCGAGGGTCTGAGTGACCTCTTCTGATGCCCACCTTTCCTCTCCCCATCCTTACACCACACCAACTCCTCCCAGTCCCTGCAATGGGGCGCCGGCCCCCAATGGGACAGGTCTTGACTCTCAATCGATCCTTCTGCCTCAGCCTCCCAAAGTGCTGGGATTACAGGCCTGGGCTACCGCACCCGGCATTCTCTTGCCAAGTACCCAGTGACCTCCTTGGTGCCAAATTCGTGTCTGATAAACCCTCATCCCACATTGCCAGTCGGGCCTTACCATCCCTGACCTCTCAGCAGCATGTGACTCTGATGAGCCCCTCTTCCTGAAACCCTCCCTTCTGTGGTGCTCCGCCCGCCCACCCCCCACCCACCGAGCTGACCTGTGAGTGTTGTCTCTAGCCTTCTTCCAGGTCCTTCCCTTTTCCCACAGCCCCTCAACCTCAGGGTTCCCTGGGCTCCGTCCATTCTCTTCTCTTTTTTTTGTTTTTTTATTTTTATTTTTTGAGTTAGGGTCTCACTCTGTTGCCCAGGCTAGAGTACGGTAGTGCAATCTTGGCTCACTGCAGCCTCAACCTCCCAGGCTCAAGTGATCCTCCCACCTCAGCCTCCTGAGTAGCTGGGACTACAGGCACACGCCACCACACCTGGCTAATTTTATTTTTTGTAGAGACGGGGTCTCACTATGTTGTCCAGGCTGGTCTTGAACTCCTAGGGTCAAGTGATCATCCTGCCTCAGCCTCCCAAAGTGCTGAGATTACAGGCCTGGGCCACCACGCCTAGCATTCTCTTCCCTCTACCTGCACCTTTCTGCACCTCCGTGTCTGCAGTGCCCACATCTGTACCTGCGAGCCAGATCCTCCCCCTGTAAGATAGCCCCTACTATGTGCCTAAGCTCTGAGCCGGGCACCAAGAAGACAGAGACTGAAGATGCCACCAGAGCCATGAGTAGACCCATGACTATAGTGGGCATGGCTAGCGCTGACGTGGGGACCCCAAGGAGGTGGCTGTATCCTCCCCAAAGTGCTCCTTCCTGTGCTCTCCCTCAGAGATGGCATCATCTCCATCCACCCAGCCACTCAAAGCACAGAAAGCTGTCCTTGTCTCCCCATCATTATAATGCCACCACATTCTGGGCATCCACCGTGTTGCATTCACTATGCTGGTGGCTCCCAGAAACCTCCCAACCTCACAGTAGCCACTGCTAAGATCCCAAGTGTATAGACCAGGACACTGAAGCTTTGAATGGTCACATAACATATCCCAATGTTCACAAGGTTAATAAAGGGCCCAGGACTGGGGTCTTTTTTGTATTTTTTCTTCTTTTCTTTTTTCCAGAGGCAGGGATCTCACTCTGTTCCCAGGCTGGAGTTCAGTGTGCAATCACAGCCTCACAGCAGCCTCGACCTCACTGGGCTCAAGCGATCCTCCCATCTCAGCCTCCTGAGTAGCTGGGACTAGCAGTGTACACCAACTGTGTCCAGCTAAATTTTCTTTGCTTTCTTTCTTTTTTTTTTTTGGCTTTGTTTTTGCAGAGAGAGTCCTCGCTCCCTGTCACCCAGGCTGAGTGCACCTGGCACAATCTGTGCCCACTGCAACCTCCACCATCCCGGTCAAGTGATTCTCCTGCCTCAACCTCCCAAGTAGCTGTGATCACAGGTGCCTGCACCATGCTGGCTAATTATTGGGTATCAATTTAGTAGCACAGAGCAGGGTTTCGCCATGTTGGCCAGCTGGTCTGGAAAATCTTCGACCATCAGTGATCATCCACCTCACCTTGAGCTTCCCAACAAGTGCTGAATGCAGGTGTGAGCCACGTGCCTGCCCCTTATTCTGAGACTCCCCCCACGCCCCCGAAAACGACTGGTGGCTCAAACTCCTGGCTCTGACCTTGGCTTCCCAAGCTGCTGTATTATTAGGCCATCATAGCCACTGATGGTGTCGACCTTGTTTGCACGTTTGATTGCAAAGCCCATTCTTACTTTCTCCTCCTCCTCCTCCCCCTCCTCGCTCCTCCGTCTTCTCCTTCTTCTCTTCCTCCTCTCCTCTCTCCTTCTTCATCTCTCCTTCTTCTCCTCCTTCTCCTCCTCCTTCTCCTCC